TTTTCTGCCATGCTATAGAAAATGGCCTAAATTTGCTAATGAGCCTAGTGATTTTGGGTGCCTCCATTTTTGGGGTCCCTATCTTGAGATGCCTTGTAAAGGGATCTGATTTTCAGAGGGTGGGTGCACTGTCTGAAAATGAGTCTCCTGCCAGGTCTGTAAAGCTGGGCACCCAAAATCACTAATCATTTGGGAAATGTATACCAACCTTTCAGTGTGCTGTACCGTAAGCTCCAGTCCAGCTTAGTTATCCTTTCTGAAGTATTCATCTGGTCTTTTATGACTTTTCTCTTGATTTTTGTGAAACTGCACATAAAATGGGTCCTGAAGGACCCTCTGAAGTGGGTCCTGGAGCTGTTGGCTGAAGCAGTTACTGGCTGAGCCCCTCAGGAACCAGAGACTGAACTCTTGCTTTGGAACCGTGATGACTTAGATACAAGAGCTCTGGCCCAAAGGAGGCAGCAATCTCGCTGTGTAAATTGCAGCTAAGGCCTATTATAGAGAGAACAGAATGATTTGAAACACATAAGGCCTGGTACAGTGTTAACAAGTTCTTAGATGGCAGTGTCGGTAACGATGATAATCTTACTCTTGTATTGCAACTTTCATTCAGCTACATCCCAAAGAGATTTACAAACAGATGTTCAAACAACTAACTAGGAATCTCTGTAAGCAACCACTGGGGTGCAATGTGGTTAAACAGTGTATAGCAGCCTACAGGTTAGTTCCATACGGATCTCCTACATCCCTGATGTCTATCATGGTTTTGTGCCCGAAGGACAAATTCAGCTCGGTCCAGTTTGTTCCATAATGACAACAGTTGGATGGCTGGAGAAACTCCAGGTCATTAATCAGGGTCTCTCGGTGCCATGCACATTTTGAGTTACAGACTATGAAGAGCAAGACATAAACTGAAAAGACATTACAAAGCTAATACACTAACAGGTCTGTGCTCTATCACTGCTTCGCCCTGGAAAATGTGGTTCATATTAAACTGCTTGAAAGCATCACTTTACTCCTGGTGGGGCTTACTTTTATTTTTAGACAGATCACACAAGTGTCACTTCATAAGGCCCAAGCAATGACTTGTGGACTCTTTGAAATTATTGTTTGTCACTTGTGAACTTTTCTGACAGGCCACAAGAGACATGGATGACTACAAATGTCAGTCACTTTCTGGTTGTGGGAACAGGAGTTTTCAACCCAAAACTGGATGAAGGTAATTCAGGCTCAATAATCCATGTTATGGGGTCCCCCCTGGATCTGCTCTCTCAAGTCTGTAAGTGTAGGTGTCTTTCTGTGTGATTTGTCTGTCACTACTGACTGTCTTCCATTCAGACAGGGAATGTGAGGATATGTGCAGTGTTTCTTTTAATCTGTAGAAGGAAACCCCAGGCAGAAAGAGTGAGAGGTAGAAAGAGTTAATACTGGTTTTTTTAAATTCTAATCAAGACTCTTGTACACTATTAGAACCATCTTTTTCTTCTGTTTGTACAGCATCTAGCACACCGGGGTCCTGGTCCACGAGTCTGGCCCCTAGGGGCTACAGAAATACAAATAATCACAAGAAAGTGATTCATTCTGTGATTATTTACCATTGTCATATGACAGGCTCATTGTTCTAAGCTTCCATGCAGCATGACCCAAACCAAAGAATCTGTAAGGGAGGAGATAGAGGCAGTGTGCCACCTTCTAACAAAATGGGCACTGTGCAGCTGAGTCTCCTAAAATGATAGTTACTCCAAAGGACTGGGAAATACCAGATACTGATTTGTGGAATTCCCAGAAGGAAGAGAATGGGAAGTGACACACGGGTCTTGAATCTGCCAACTGAGATGAAATTACTCCTGATTTGCAAAGCCAGAAATGAATTATGCAGGTCATCCCAAGCAAATGCCTATAAATCCTGCATAACACGTTGCCACACCATGTGTCCCGCATTTGCCATCTATTTGACAGAAGAACTATTAACAAAATGTTTAAAGAGTCATACATAAATGTGTTGTGATACTGCTTTTTGCATCCATCCACTTGTAAAACCCTAGTGGAAATTCTGGATGGCTCACTAAAACTCTTTAACAGTTTGAAGAGTTTCTTTTGGAGAACCAGTAGTCCCAGAAACCGGTAGTCCAATAGCCTCTCCATTCCAATATCTAGTTGGCTAACTTGAACTACCAGAAAGTGTTCACTAGAAATTTCTGTTAGGGAATCCAAACTGTCTTAATATCATGAGTCTCAATGCAAATAGCTCAGAAAGAGAAGAAAATTTTAACTACTTTAGAAATCACTAACTGTGACCTGTGGCATAGTAGAGAGAGCATTGGATCCACACAGGAGAGCTGGGTTGTATTCCTGGCTCTGCCACTGGGCTGATGGGTGACCTTGGGTAGGTCACTGACCTCCCTATGCCTCAGTTTCCCCATCTGTAAAATGGGGATAATAATTTATTTCCGTGGTAAAGCAGTTAGAGATCTACAGGTGAAAATGCTATATAATAGATATTATAATTATATATGGAAACTGAAAAAGTTAAGTACCTGTATCTTGGGATCTTCCAGGACTAGATCCAAGTGCTATACATTAAGAAGCTGGGAATCTCCTCTTCTGAATGGTCTGAAGTTCCTGTACACTTGAGGCCTGATTCTCTGTTGCTCTGCACCTTGTATAATCATTGACATGAGAGCAAAGTAGGTGTAAAACATATTCTACATATTCATATAAATCAATTTTCATGTTATAACAGCAGTAATGATCTTTGTGTAGGGCACTCCCTAGGGTAAATGGTCCAAGGCATTGCACTCCTTCCATCTAGTAACATTTCTTAGGCAATTATTATTTATTTGTTATTTAACAGCTGTATTATGGTAGCAACTAGAAGCATTAAAAAGGTGCTTTTGTGCTAGGCACTCTTCAAATACAGCCTTGCCAACTCTTGCAATTTGCAGGTCTCATGATATTTGGTGTTTTTTTTAAAGCCCCAGTTCTTAGAGTCATGTTATTTCATAAGAATGTCAGCTTTCGTTTTTGAAAAACAAAGTAAGTTTCTAGCCATCCTTGTTGCAGAGAAAAGCTATATAATGTGTTCCAACTGTATCCTACATTAATCAGAAGATAAATAAAATATTTTTAATCTTATGATTTTTAAGCCAATTTCATGATTTGGGAAGGGAGAGGGCTGACTCATGATTTTTTAATGCTCAGGGTTGGCCATACTGCAAATTTATAATAAATTACAGTTCTGGCCTAAAAGAGTTTACAGCCAAAGTCCCCAATCTTACAAATATATATATGTATACATGCTTAACTTTAAGCACAATTAGTGCTACTTACTTAAAGTTAAGCATGTGAGTAAGATTTGTCCTGCTTTGAGCAGGGGTTTGGACTAGATGACCTCCTGAGGTCCCTTCCAACCCTGATATTCTATGATTCTATGAAGTGTTTGCAGGATAGGGGACAGAATTCACTGTGCTTTCATAGTTATTGCTCAAACAATGGTCAACAGTGATCGATAATTCTGTAAGTCTGAACCAATGAATCCTAAATGCAGTTACACAGTGTGGCCCTGATCCTGCAAGTGGAAATGCCCTACCAGATCCTTGAACCCTTGTGGAGGCTTGATTAATTTCAGGGCTCCACATGGGTACAAGAATCCATCTGTGTGGATCTTCTTGCAGGATCTAGCCCTTGCATAAGAAACTCAGTGAACTATTCATGTGTCCAGATGCTCATGCGCATTAATATTGGCAAATTTGGGCCCTGATTGATGCCAAATGCCTCTTAAATTGTAAGCTCTTTGGGGTCAAGGACTGTCTTTTTGTTCTTTGTGCATACAGTGCCTAGCACAATGGGGTTCTGCTCTATTAGTAGGGCTCCGATATGCTACCACAACACATGACCAGAGCTCAAATACTACTAATAAATAACAATCATGGCTTGTGAGCTCGTGATTTTCCCTGTAAATATTGCTTTGTTTGCCCTGGCCTTGCCTTTTACATTTCCTTTTGCAGATGCTCTGCTCTGCCTTTTCAAGGTTGTTCACCGTCTTCGCCCATTCCGTTGTCCCCAGTTTTGCCTCATTTCTGTCTGATTTTTCGATCAGCTCCCCCAGCCTGATCCATTTATTCCCTGGGGCTGTTCCCCCCACCCCCTACAATGTGCTTGGGTGATTCCAGCTGGGAACTGTCCTTCCCCAGCCCGTGCTGCACAGCGCGCGCCCCGTGGCCTTAGAACGGCTGCGCTCCAGGGAATGGGTGGCCACGAGCTCAGGGCCGGTCCTCGCCCAGCGCGGGGGTTGGGCCTGGAGGGACACACTCCCGCTCGGCCAAAGCGCCAGGGCTGTAGCCCCCGGCCGGCCCCCCACTCGGCGCTGAGGCTCGAGGAAGAGACCAAACCCCGCCCCGCACATGCCCAGAGCAAAGCTAAGCGCCAACGGAAAATTGAGGGCATAGGCGCTTCCCTGTGGCTTCACTCCTCCCACTGCACATGTGCTTGATCTCCGCGCATGCTCAGTAGGAACGCTGGCCGCCATCTGCTCATGCGCAGTAGCAGAAAGAACACCGCTTGTTTGGGAGGCAGAGCGCCTTTTGTTGATCCCGCGGCGGGGCCGTGCGGCGCTAGGACCCGGCGGACCCGGCTCGCACGCGGGTTTTTCCTCCTCCTCCAGAGAAAGAGCGATGGCGGCCCGTTAGCGGCGCGTGCAGGCGGCGGGGCTGGGACTGCGCCGAACGCACCGGGGCCATGGGGGGCGGCGCGGCCTGGCCCCCTGCGTGAGGCGCGCCAGGCCCGCGCGTCCCCTCCGAGCGCGGTGCGGCCCTGTGGCGGCGAAGGTCGCCTGCCCTCCTCCCGCCGGGCCGGTGCCGGCGCATCCCCCCAGGCCAGGGCGCGGCGGCCATGGCCACCGAGCTGGAGCCCCCTGCCTCGGGCGCGGCGCCGCTGGAGGCGGAGGAGGACGAGGAGCACTGGTTGTACGGGGGTAGGTAGCCGGGCGGCGGCCGTGCCTAGCGCCGAGTCGCCACGGGGGATGCGCTGTGCGAGATGGTCCCCTGCGCCCGAGCACCCCTCGGCGGGCGGGCAGGGCGCGGGGTCTGTCCGCACTGCACCTCACCCAGGCTCCGGCTCCGCTTTGGGCCCAGCCCGCCCACAGTAACCAGCCTGAGTGGGGCCAGCAAGCGCTCATGGCCCTGCTGGGGCGTGGGTCCCAGCCCCTGTCGTTTGGCGGTGTGGACGCAGCTCAAGCTGCAGACCCGAGTCTGTATAGTGCAGTGTGGACATGTTAGTGCAGCTGTGAGCCTGGGGTCTAGCTATTGTAAAGCCAGGCTTAATAATACAGTGTGGATGTACAAGTGCAGGCTTGGAAACACAGAGTCCATAGAGCCAGGTTTGTAACGCTGTGTAGGCATAACCTATGAAAGCCCTCACTAGTCAGAAGGCAAAGTAAACTAGGATAGGGCACAGGCACTCTCCAGATTATGGTCTGCCTTCCCCCGAGCTTCTGAGCAGCCACATCCCCTTCTCCTCCTGGAGAGGTGATGGAGTTGACTAATGGCTGTGTAGGTTTATCTGGGAGCCTCTCCATACCCAACCAGTACATGCCTATGTGATGGTCTTGTATTAGATTCCACTGACCACTGCAAGATTTTATGTCGGGAGTGGAATAGAGATCATGGGTTGTGGCACTGCTGATAAACCACAATCAAATGAAAGACTCTTACCTAATTAACCTGTCTAATCTATCAATTTTATTTTTTTTTCTATAGACTCCATGGGGTTTCTATAGATTTTTCTCCTTCCCTTTGCTGACGTTTGTGTGTATGTACACACATATGCCTTATTATTATTTGTTGTCCTAGCCATTGTGTGGGATACTACTATCATCCTTTCCTGGGTTATGTCAGTTTCAGATTGTAAACTGCTTCAGGGTAGAAACTTGTTACTTTCAGTTGTTTGCAAAGGGCCATGCATGCTTATGGCACTAAATCAATAAAAGTAAGTCTGAATCCACTACCTAAGCTGGGTGAGCTGGAATGGGAGTTGACCTTCCATCAGAATTTTTTTCTTCTGTCACAGTCTTTGATGCCATTTAATACAGTATAGCATTTTTTGGTTTGTATATGATCACTTTTTAACAGTAATAGGATAATGAAGAATGAAATGGGGCAGAATGAAACTCTAATAGCAAGACATTGGCGTACATAATAACTTTTAAAATCTGCCAGGTAAATGTATATTTGGGCCCCAATTCTGTCACTGGATTGATGCAAGTGGACCCCTGTGCCACTTGGGGCTCCATATGTATCCAAGTGAAGGGTCAGAGCCTGGGTTTGCTGGCAGAGCATTCTTGGAACAGTTACCAGGCATCTTTTTCAATGCATCCATCACTCCATGTGTTTCCTACCATTATGAGACCTTAAATTTTTTTTGTCAATTAAGGTCAGTATATTTTCTGGTCTTTTGATTTTTGCTTTTGAAAACTTTTTGACTTGAGGTCCTGTTCCCACCTAGCCTGGTCTCTTTCCCACAGAAAAAAATGTGTGAAGACTCTTGGAGCCAAGATCCATACCTGGCTTGATAGGTGCCTTTATTCATTCTGTTGCATAATCTGGGGTCTGGCATTCAAAGGCCTTTTTTAATTCTGTCAGTTGTCAAGGATGTGTAATCTTACTTTTTCATTGCTTTATTTCATATTGAGCTTTGCTTGGAAATAAACATTACTTATAATGTGTATATATGATAGTTTTTTCCCAAAAGGCCCAGACTGTGTTATAAGTTCTGATCTCTTTGGTTTTTGATTTAATATGTTGTTTTTATCATATCTGCAGATGACACCACTGGTAAGCAAGAAGATGGACCAATTGCTAGGTAAGTCTGTAAACTAGTCACTCATAATAACTGTATCTGCTGGAGGGGAGAACTTTGTCTCAGCATCAGGCCTATAATTCCTAGATACCTTGAGCCTAGTTTCAGATCTTGACAGTCAACTCATCCCCTTGCATCGCAACAAATTGAGTTGTGTGAACTTTACTGTTTGGACATCTTTTGGATGAGACCTTCAAAAACAAGTTCTGTGGTGATATGAAAAGTTACACTGGATCCTTAATAAGATTAGAGGATTCTCCCAGTATCCTTGACCAAAATTTCCCCCTCCCTCCCCACTATACTTGTGCAGTGTGGTATGCACCAGCTGTCCCTTCCTCCACCCCAGAGGTGTCTGCATTTGAATATTTTTTGTATGTGTACATATGATAGGAATTTCAGGATTGTTGTACAGCCGTCATAAACTGGAGTTCAGGGTGCTCAGAAACACAGAAAATTTAGCCCAGTGTTTGCTGCACTTTGGGACCATTATGAATATTATCCTCTTTGGAGCAAGTATCCTCATTCAACCAGTATGAACACACACAAGCAAACTGTGGGCTATCTTATTGCACTTAGCAAATGTAATATCAACTATCCCTCATGACAAGGACAGTCTCTGATTTTAGACATAAATGTACTGCTAACCTACATAAATAGTGTTCTTGTCTCTTTATGATTTACATGAGATTATCAGAAATGCTCCATAAGTTAAAGTAGCTACATCCTTCAATTTATTAATGTTTGCAAATCACTTTAAAACCTTGACTGCAAAGTATTATTATTATTATTATTTGCTTTCTGCTCTTATTTTTCTTATAGTCCTCATTTTGAGTCTTTGTCTCACATATAAACTTTGTATGGGTTGTGAGATGTGCCAACAAGATGATTATTTGCTAGACTCTTTGTTAACCGTTGAAATTCCAGTATGATGTTCTCTCTGAATACGTTGACTATCCATGGGAAGACAGTGTACACCAAATTACATGTATTCAGTATCTCTTGACATTCCTTGATGCAGAGGATTTTGTGAAATTATAGCAGTGCTGTAAAAGGGGCTGTTTTATCCCTGGCACAGAGGGTTATGTTGGGATTCAGGGGGTGGAAATAAAATGCCCAGGACTATTACCAACATAAAAGTGATGACACTAGTCCTGTCAAAGTGATTATTTGTTCTCTTCTTAAAACTGTAGGAAAGTGGCTGTTACTTTATAGATGTGTACTTGAAATTTAAATTCACAAATTGTAATACGCATCCACAGATACTTCCTGTGATTTGAAGCTGAAGGTAACATTTGTTGCTTTTCTTTAATTCAGTGCTGGCTGATCAATGATCTTGGATTCTGAGACAATTCTGTGGTTTGAGATCAATGCTCTTAATTGCTTTTGATTTGGTAAAAAGAATGCCAGAGGTTTTGGGGAGCTATCTGTGGCAATTTCCTCCAGTGGTACTTCTCTTTATCTTTGCACAATGACTTGATGCCCGTGACCTTGGAGTTGTTGTGGAGTCTGATCTTCTTTTTGAAGCCTGTTATGCTAATTTGGTAACTGAAGTGCTTTTGCTACCACCTCAGGAATTTGACCATACTGGTACCCATGCTTACTAGGACAGCTGCTGAAATCTTTGTCTGTACTTTTGTTTAATCTTGGCTTGATTACTGCAATTCTTTCTTTGTGAAACTTTTCACTACCTCTCCTCCAACATGACTGTGCAACTGATAAAGAATTCATTTAGGCTGCTTGCCCAGGTCTGTCTGTCTCTTCACAATCTTGTCTTCTTAGCCTCCTAATAAGAGAGCTTCATTAGTTTCCAAAACTGCAGTGGGTTGACTTTTATTTTATTTGATTCTTGGTAACCACTTCCAAGATTTTGTATTGCTGGGCTCCATTATGTCAATGTGATCTTTGGCTTCCTTGTTTAGAAGCTGTTTTGTGCAGCCTCTGAAATGGCTTTAATCTGTTCAGTGTGTGGCCTCTGTGTGTCATGTGTTTGCAGGATCTAACCCCAAAGGGAGCAAACACTCACTAGCAGGCATGGTGCTTATCCCCATGAGTACCTTCATTGACTTCAGTGGGAGTACCCCCAGTAATAAGCTTTGCTCAGATGTAAGTGTTGGCATGTTTGGGCTCTTGAGTCCCCAGATAAATTAACTTTTAAAAAAAGGATTCTATTAGAATTTCAAAATAACTCTTCCAGTTCCATGGCTAAATGTGCCGCCTTCTGATTTTTAGTTCCATAACACATAAGGTACATATGATTTTTGTTGTGACTGGCTTGCTTGGAAAATACAATAAACAATACTAATATTTGCTCCACAATCTTTAGTTAACAGAATAAATCTGAAAGTGCAATAATGGATATTAGGATTAATTTGCAATGAATAAGGAAATGGGATGGTCTATGGGATTGTTAATTACCTGTCCTTTAATCTCCAGGTGACTGGTTAAAATTCAGCCCAAGTCCTTAATAACTGAATGTTGTTAATGTTTGGTGGCTTGTAGAAAGGGAATCAATTGATCTTGATCTAATTCCTACTGGGCAGGGGTCCTCTTCACTAAAAAATGTCTATATAATTGGCACTCTTGTTGGCAGTCTCAGGGAAAGGCCAAGGATTGAATGGGCTATGGAGACTGAACCATCTTCTTACCCTTAGAAGTAGTGGGGTTGAGGCACACTGGGAATCTTTCAGAGCTGCTGCAAGTGCCTTAGCTGATCTGTGGATAAATAAGTGTTTGGTGTGCAAGGCTGCCCATCTGGCATCCTTCAGGAACTCTAAATTGCCTTTCACCAATAAAAGCAAAACCTGCTGAGATTGAATTTGAGCTAACTACTCTACTACCAGTCACCAGAATCAAATATGTCTGTTGGTAAAACTATGATCAGAATGTTATCTTGATTCTGTACTGATGGGCACTTTGGAAACATGAATAGGTCGCTCCATGGGTCAATTGTATTTATTTTGGTCTGTTATATTTGGTAGACATGCAGAATCTTCTCATCCTTTGCAAGATGCTCCTCAGGAGAGCCGGCCTGTCACCAGTGAAGATCGAGAGATGTCACAACATGTATGTGTTACAGCTATAACTGCTGGATGTGGCTATTGCTATGCAGTGCATGTTCACTGCTTGTAAATATTGGTGTATAACAAGGCTCCAGTAAAAAGGGGCTACTATTTGTCACCTTAAATATAGCTTATTACACCTATACTATAACAACTTATTAATTAGCAATTCTGGGTGCTAATTACAGCATGTAGTTTTTCTACCTAAAATGCCTGTGGTCAGAGTATTAGGTGTTGGGATTGCCAAGGTCTACTTCTGACTCTGCCATTGACTCCTTGGATTACTCATTTTGAACCTCTCAACTCCTCTGTACCTTAATTTCTCTGGCCTTGATTCAGGATAGCATCCCACTGAAATTGGTGAGAGTTAACCACATGCTTAAAGTTTATATGTATGCTTAAGCACTTGCCTGAATCAGAGCCTCATGTGCAAAACTGGTGTAGTAACACTCCCAGGCAACCCCACAGGGCTGTGGTGGGAGTTAAAGTTTGAAAATAGTTCGGACATCCTTGGATGAAAGGTGAAAAAATATTTATTTATTTATTTATTGTGGTTTTTTTTTTTTTTTAAATATTGATTATTAACCAAGTGGAAAAGGATGTCTTTGTAACAGAATCATTCTTCCTAACTTGTACTACTTTATTGAGCTTTTAAGACTTGCGTTCTCGTCCAGGTGAATTTCTTGGGTGTAAGTATCAATGAGTCCCCATGTGTCTGTGTTACTGTTAGGCCCCTCCGAGTGGTGAAGATGATGAGGAAGACAGTGATAGCGACAGTGATGATGATGATGTGAAAGTTACCATTGGCAACATTAAAACAGGAGCACCATCGTACATGTATGTATTTCTGGTTACAGTGCCTGTTGTTTGTTTTAATAACCAACTTTCTTCTTATCTTTATGATTCAGGGGGGAAAAAGCAGTTGATCTTACCATTTTAAGAAGCAGGGAGTTTAATGGCTAGTGCCTGTTTCTGGCATTGGCTTGCTGGGTGACCCATCGGTAAAATGAGGCTAATACTCCACACGTCAACTGCCATCATGCTGAATAATTAATATTGGTGGAGCACTTGACTGAGTGAAATAGAAGGTGGGAAGTAGTGCAAGTTCTTAAAATTACTTTAATTCTTGAGGTTTTGTTGAATTTAAATGAAGAATCCAGCTAAACAGCAGATGAATTAAATAGAAGCCCTGAATTCATTAAATGTTTTAGCTGTCCAATTCTTCACAGCTGAGGTATGGTGAGACCAGATTTGCAAACCAGCCACCTGTCACTGAGATGGTTAAGAATCTGAGTCTGAATAACATTTACTATTCTGTATTAGATGGAAATAAGGGGGCAGCATTTCTGGTTGCTGCTGGCAACCATCATCTTAAGGAAACCTTTTACCTGTTCGTTGCAGCATATTCTAATCCTTCGCTGCAAGGATAACTCCCCTCTGCTTTTGCAGGAAGGGTTTGGGGTCTAATGGATCATTCTAAAGAGCGATGCCCCATTCATTCAATCGCTGATTCATTAGAATTTTCGAAACATCCTTTTTTGGATTCTGTGTTTTTCATTGTGAACCAGAGTGCTCCCTTCCTTTCTCATATTCTGTACAGACTTGCTGCTACAATTCTTTCCCCCGTTGCCCAGCTCCATCCTAATTCTTAGTCACAAGTATGCTTTCTGGCAGGATGATACCTACCAACATTGGGGAAATCATCAGGCTCTGCTTCTGAGTCCAGACAATCTCGTGTGTTGCTGCTTATCTCAATGTACACTGCTGGATATCCATTTCAGTATGCTGCCCGCTCCACCATCAATAGCTTTACATCAACAGTGCAATCTAATTTTTAAAGTAATGGAGTCTTAAGTAATATAAATCACAAAGACGCTTCAGATAAGGGAAAGGGCATTGTTGGTTTGGACAACTCTTTATGTTCTTCCAGTCTGCTGGGGTATATTGAGGCTAGCACGTACAACAAAAAATCCAACCCATATATTGAAATACTGATGCAAATCTCTTCTCATTCTTTTCTGTCTAGGGGGACTCCTATGAATCTAAACTTAAAAACAGGTAGAGGCTATGGAACATCCTCTTCAGGTATTAATAATCATAATAAAATTTATTTTACCATCTGTATTTTGGGGTATTTCAAACTTCTTGCACAGGGTTTTTGCTGAAGTCTCTGGCATGAATGGCTGGACCCAGCTAAAAATATTGCTTACTCTAATTTCACACAACCCTCAAAAAAGAGAATCTTCTTTAAAGCAATAGTGAGCTCCGTGCAGTGAGTTTCTTAAAGATTAGTGGCTGGCTGGGGAGAATTGATGGCCCAGCATGTGTTGGAGGAACAGCCAGCTGGTAATTGATCACCTGGAAATGCCAGGCAGCCAGGTTGTAATTGCTGTTTTAAACTGAAAATGGAAAAAAAGACAATCCCTGTGTAACACAGCATCTGTTCAGGACAGGATGTTACTAGAAAATTAATGCTTGGGGCTGGATTCTACTATCCTTGCTTGCACTGAGTGTTGCTTCACTGCATGAGTAGGCTTACTGAGATCAGTGGGGCTACTTGCAGTGCAAGATATTAATCACCAGGAGTAAGGGCAGAAGACTCTGGCCCTTGACCATTAGCTAATCAGTTGGCTGGAATCAGCCCTCAGTACCTCATTCAGTTTTATATTCTACATCATATGTTGGGTTTAAAATATCTCTGCAATATGTCCTCTCCCCTTTTACCCCTCTTTTCCTTTCTGTATGGGAGACTGTCTTTTTTGCAATCCCTATTTTCCCTTTTCCCAGTCTCTTTGTGGTGATTATCTTCCCTCTGGCTGAGGAGAACTGAGGAGATGTAGTTGCCTCCAAAGTCTTTCTTCTTGCAAAGTGCTGAGCACCAGGGACTCCTATTGGCTCCAGTGGTTTGTTGGCATATTGTAAAATCAAGCCCAAAGCTAACATTAAAAGTAGACCTGTCTGCATCTGTTGTGGGGGGAGGGGGATTGTACTGAATGATCTTGAGAAAAGTTAATATTTTCTTCTGAGCTAAATCTCATAGTTGCCTAGATGGCTTATTTATTTCATTTACAGTGCTGGTATTTTGGGGGTATTTTTTTCTTTGCCTCCCAGCTCTCCAGGTTTAGTAGCTATAACACCATGGCCATCTATTCACAAATCACTGAAAGTTGTTTTTTTACTAGAAAGTTAGATCTGGTTACATTGAGAAATAGACAGATGCAGAGCTGATGTTAAATTCATAGCAGATAATAGCTATTTTAAACTGAATAATTCGCTCATCAAATTGGTGGATTAGAAGCATTGCATTAAAAGCAGTAACAATTTCTCTCTCTTCAAAGCCAAGTTGCAGCCCAAAGGTATTGATCTAGATGCCACAGGGAATATAAATGGATTGCCTGTAATAGAAGTGGATTTAGATTCGTTTGAAGACAAACCGTGGCGGAAACCAGGTGGGGCCTCAAAGTTTCTTGTGGTAAATATTTTCTGCAGTTCTGTTTTATTTTGCTTTTCATGCATAGTTTCTGTCAAAGTGTTGCTGCCATGGGGGATGGAGGGAGAAATCCTGATCAACCTCTGACTCCTGTTCTGAGCAATTAGTGATGCTAACTAGAGTTACTGAGCCATGTGCCAATTTCAGTAGTGATCAGAAGAAATTGGGCTAGACTTGTATTCTGTTTCTTACTTTCCTCAAGAAAAGTAGCTGATCTTTATATTCAACCTCTGTTTCCTAAAACATATGACTCTGGTAGCAGTATAATAGCATTTGGCCAAAACCTGAAATCAGTTGGACTTTTTGTTATTAACTTCAGTGGGATCAGGATTTGGCTGTAGGTGAGAGGTGGTCTCCTCTTGATGTATAGCCACTGGCATGCTTTAGCCCATCATGGCTGAACTCAAGGACACCCCTTGTGCAGCCTTGTCATTGGTCCTCCTTTGGAATGTCAGCACTTCAGTTGGGAAGTACCAGGTGCATGAAGGAGCATGGGGATGGATAGTTTGTTCTTAGCAAGTTAGCATTCAACCACATAATTCCCGTTGTCAGTGGGAGTTGGGGCATAATCAATGTATATCGTTAAGGAAAGCAATCCCACTCAGTTCTTGACAGGTACATCTCTAATGTGAGCTGATGCATCAAAAAAGCCACCAAACAATCCAGTAAGGAAAATAATTTGATTTACACATTGGAAGGAGATATTGGTTGTTTCCTGCCAGTGTGCAACAGGGCAAGAGTCTCTGAGTCAGAAGACGGGTTCTGCTCCAGGGTCTGCCACTGGCTAACTGTGTGACCCTGGGCGAGTTACTCTCCATGCCTCAGCTTGTCTCTGTATTATGTGGATAATGATACTCACCTTTGTAGAACACTGAGATCTATAGATAAAAATTGCTATGTAACATGCTAAGATTAAAATATGGGAAGTTTCTTTTATCTTCTGTTCCTATTGGTTTTGTATTGCGGAGTTTTCTACATCAAAGTGACTCTTATATACAAACTATAAAATGCTTGAAGTGAAGTCTTTCTATTTTTCAGCTGTGTTTCAGACAAAATAACTAAAGGCCAGAGAGATCCAAACACTTATTACAGCAGCCGTGCAAAATTGGCATGAAAATCTATTAGTCTTGGCATAAAATCCACTCACTTGCTCCTTCATATAATGGTGGGGAGCTAATATTTTACTTGCCCTTTAAAAATATGATTCTGCTGTGTAAGTAGTGTTTTTGGAAGGCGGCGCATGAGATGTGTTTGATACATCTCACCCACCTGAGATGAAGGGCAGTAGGAGACACAATGGAAAATTCAAATCACTGTTACTTTTTTCAAAGTATTGAGCAGTAGGCACTTTGTGATGAATGGATGTTGGTGCAGATGTAAATAGAAAATGTATCCTTTTCTTCTGCAGGGGATTTGACTACGAAGTGAAAGAGAGACTAGGAAGAGAAGAAGTTAGGAAAGAACAGAATTAGAGCAGTGATACCAGTAAAGTTCAGAGATACGAGCGTGGGGATCATTATTGTCCTGCTGACCCATCTCTGGACCAGGAATGATCCACGTAGTCATAAAATAATATTGATTTGAAGTATGAATTGAGGTAAAATTAAAGCACAAGCTCGGCCCATATTCTTTGTGCTACTTCAGTAGCCTCTTCCTGGGCAGCCTTCTGGGCTATGTCCTAGATAATAAGATCAGTCAGCAAGATAGTCTCTCCTTAATAAGCCAGGGAGGGGAAGGAAACTTCACACCATCAAAGCATGAATCAAGGAGCAAAATCTGATCCAGTGAAGCTGATGTGTAAATTTCATGTTGCTAAGCCTGAGTTGGAATTCGTCCCCCATTGGGGTGCAGCAGGAAAAGTGGCTGGCAGGAGGGTGTAAGAAAGTATAAGGTCAAAATCCTGACCGTATCATGGCCAGATAGTCTTAGCTGAAACTCAAGGGTTTAAACTAGGATTTGTTGTTTTACAGTTGGTCAAGCTAGAAATACCTTTATAATGGGAACGTTGAGGGACTTTTTAACCATGCTAGGAGGTGCTTCTATATTACACTGCTGTGGAGTTATGCCTTGATACAATTTCATAAAATTATTCACAAGTGATAGACAGAACCCTTAAATTATCACCAATGTCATAGCGGGTTAATGCACATTGAGAGACCTCAGTTCAAATCCTGGCTGGGATCACAACTGAACAATAAGTCTGTGTGGTTTAAGCCATGTTATAAAGGTTGCAGTTTAACACAGTGGGCAGGCCCTGGTGTAGAGAATCTCTAATCAGAACGGCAAAGGGCAGTCCAGCTCAGAATAGAAAAGCATTGGCAGAGCTAAGGTGCAAAAAAATCTCTGTGCCACTGACAGTTAGTTTTCATCAGCACTAAACTCCTCCATAAAATTATAAAAGGACTAATACAGGATATCACTCTGAAAAACTAAATCTCTGAAGAACTGTCTGTGAATTCACATAAGTTCTCTCTCTTACAATATCCTGAATTTGTGTTGAACCTTGCATCCAAAGGATCCCAGAGCACTTCATATTTTGGCCCCTACTAAGAAGTACCCACCTCTTATGAGGAATGCAACAGTTTTGAAACTCTCACCAACACTATACAAAGTTCAGAACAGAAAGTGAAGAACAACCTCATGTTTAATTCTCTATTGGAAATTTTAAACTCTCCATGTAAGTGCTTCAGGAGCAATTTGAGAGTGCACGTGTTCTCCGAGTTGCTCTGTTGATTTGTGGCTTCATTTTCAGGTGCTGACCTTTCTGATTACTTTAATTATGGATTCAATGAAGAAACATGGAAAGCTTATTGTGAGAAACAGCGACGGCTTCAGCTTGGACTGGATCCCTCTCCACCTATCAACAGTGAGAATAAGATCACAGTAAGTAACCTGCTATCCAGTGTGTGGGTGCAGCACAGAAGCCTGCTCATTTTGTGGGCACGTAAGTGCAAGTCTAAAAATGGAAGCTGGTTTAGAAATGTGATCCTGGAATATTAACTGAAAGGCAAGCTGTCAAGAATGGTGGACCTAAACATTTTTTTAGTGGAGGTGACATTTTTAATTCTCCCCCCGGCTAATAAATTGTTCTCTTGCCTGGTTGAATGATGCACTCCAGCAAACATGGAGATTGTTGACATGATGGCAAATAAAAAATCCCCTGGGATGGTGAGATTTAGGTGTATTCCCAAAGAAGGCTGTGCCCTCGAGATTGTCCGGCTATGGAGCTGGGCTGGTAACACTGCCAAAGCCCTCAAGTTGGTGGATCCTGTGTGTATGAATTTAGTGCTGGTGAGAGGTGTAGAGTTGACAGACCATTGACTTAAGTCTGATCTGAGGAGCCAACTGTGATGCGAGGGGCATTGTTTCCCTGGCCTATTCGCTTCTTGGCATCTCTGCCGAGACTTCACCAGTTTTGTTGCCACTTCTTGTGATGTGGACTCCTGTCCACCATGGCCACCAAACTCATTTCACATGGGCCACCGAATGGCCCTCAGATGGTAACAGCTTTTGGTCACTTGGCAGGATTTGAATGGGTGAGCTAGAGGTAAAAGCCTCCATATCCAATTTCCAGTTCCCTGAATTAAGGACTGGAAAAACAGGACCACAGTCAGGTTAGGTATATCTTGGGGCTTCTAATGGGAATTAAAAATGGGGACAGTAGGCCAAGAATGGAAAAGGCATTCAACTTGCAAAACTGTGAGATTGGCCAAAGATTGGATCTTTATTTTGCGTGAACCTTGTCATCCAATTGGATCATTGCAGATGAATGTTCTGCTTTGCTTCCTCACTGGAGCCTCTTTCACCTATGAAGAGCAGATCTTCATGACTTATAACTCAGCTGGTAACCAGACAGAGATCTCTCTCTTTTTATTCTTTAGGTTCAGCAAGGAAGGACAGGAAATGCAGAGAAAGAACCAGAGAACAACATTATCAAAACGGAATTCAAAACGGACTTTGTGGCTCTGATAGGAGGGCGGATGAAGGCTGGGCCTCCACCTAATAGGTAAGGGAGCGTATGGAAACTGCATTGGAGTTCTCTATTTGAATGCATTAAATAATGGGACAAGTGATATCCTGCTATTTCTTTGTCTGAGTCTTTTATGGACCCCAAACAAGGTGGCGACTTTTAAACTATATTGGGTGTTACCCTGAAATTCAATAGTTATCACCCTCCCCAATGACACTCTGTTGTGTAGTTGTGGAACCCCCCCATCTCCATTTTCCTACCCTGTTGGTGTCCCCACTGCTGCACTGTGTGGGTAGGTAGGCCTGGTGCCATGCTGCATGGTCCCAGCCTTACAAAGGGGAGCTTTGCAGGGAAGGGCTAAGACAAGGAAGTCTTCGTGCTATGGAGCTTCCCCTTGTTGGGCTGCTGGTTCTTCCAGAGCCTGGTCCAACTCCCATTGAAGTCAATAAGTCATTCCGTTGCCTTTAACCAGAGCTGGCTCAGGCCTTGGTAATGGCCAAGAGGAGCTACTTGGTATTTGAACTGCCTGCTCTGCAGCTAGCATGAGTTACAAATGCTATCAGTTGGATCAGTTTGGTGTTTTTTCCCTTGAATGGAAATGGTTCAAAGCCTAGACAAAGTAAAATGGCTTTTAGTAATTCTAACTGGAAACCTGTACTGGACAACAGTCACCTTCCTGACAGTCTGGCTCTGATTATTTTTATAAGGCGCTTTGGGAAACCTGGTTACAGGAAACCAAAGCAGATTTTTCTTTCTTTTTTTTAAAACTCCATGTTTTGCACACCTCTGCTGATCATACCTAGGAACCAGTCCTGCACCTGTGTCTCACTCTTTTCAGTGGACAGTTGGAGTAGAATGAGAAGAGAGGATCTCTGGGTTAGCTCTGAATTATTCAGAGCTGGATTAAATTAATTATTCTGGATTAAAAGAACTTTAAAGTTCCAATTTATTCATTTCTGTCTAAGCAGTTAGTTGTGTGTTTTTGCATTTCACACCTTCTCGACAAAGAAATCAGACTGATCAGCTTTACTTTCCAGCTCTCGCATGTGATGCTATTCTTTCTAAAGTCTGTGCAAATCCAACCTGCTCCTACTGAAATTAATGAAAACTTTTCTTTCCTTATTGGGCTTTGTAATTTTCCTTTTTCTTTAAGAAAATACATTCTAGCCCTAACGCATTTAGCAGCGTCCAATTTAACATGGATTCAATATTGGCTTTATCTAGAGATTAACCTGGATTAAAATCAATGTGTTTAAATAGGTTTGGTGCTATAGACACAGCACGTCTCTCTGTTGGCACTAGGATACATGCCATGAAATTGGACATCTGTTGTATGACTGTATCTCAAAAATCAGCAGGTTGTGTTTGCAAAGTCTTGTTTCCAATGACAGTGGAAATGGGAAGGACAGTAAATTTTTTTTCTGTTGTTTAGCTCTGGCCCTTCCGTAACTTGCTTGTCCCACAGTAGAAGGTGTTAGGTGTGATCCTACTTCTCTCTGGTTGGATTGCAGCAGAAGCTGACTATGGCGGTGCTGTTTGCAATGGCTTTGTCAGGCGAAAGATGCAGAAGTCACGACCTGGGGGGGAGGGGGAAGGAAACGTTAATGGGATCCCATTATTTGGAGTCAAGTATCCTTTATTGTTAGTTAAAATACTGTGAACTCTTTTTAGTAAATGACTTCAGCAGTTAATTAAAAGCTCATGTGGCTTTCCAGTAGAGCCAGACTGAAATTTCCTGGTGGAGTTTCACTCAGTAAGGGGCTGGCCAGAATGGCCCAGACCTGGGTTTATGTCCTAACGTCAGCTACTGTCACAAAAGTCATGGCAAATTCACAGCTTTGAGGGGGACTTTGCATCTTTTAAAGGATCAGGCCCTTCATGAGCTGCTGTCTCTGCACAAGAAACTCTAACCTGTCTGTTCAGATAGAGAATCCCAACTGCCTTGTCCCTGGGTCTTTATTACTGAGAACATTTTCGTAAACCTAGAATGTTTGATTCCTTTAACTCCTCCTGCTTCTCCTTCATCCCCCAAATCCTGTGCTTATGACATCACAGCTGTGGAAATAGTTGTCCCCAGTATAGGATTTTGAATAAGCAACAGGAAGATACAAATTCTTGAGAAACAAAGATCCTGATCTAACTAGGGTAACCAACAGCAGAATCTGGCCCCCTGTTTATATGCAAACACCCTTTATTAATATAAGGCCCTGTCTTGCTCCCATTGAAGCCAGTGGTAAAATTTTCACTGACTTCTTTGAGAGGAGTACTGGGCCTAGGGGATAGAGAGGCAAAAAATGTGTCCAACAGCCAGAATTGTAACCAAAGAGAGTGCTTAGTTTAGAGTGATGGTCCATGAGGGTTAGCATGGATCCGTCATGAAATGGTGCAAATTTTGGGCTGTCTCTGGTCTAAGGGCCTCAAGTGCTGTGCACTCTCCACTCCTACTAGATCTGTTTGCAAGGGAATTGAGCCCAATCTTGCAACCCATATTCACTTGAGTAGTCTTATTGATGTGTAGGTGAGTGACAGTTTTCAGGGTCTGAAACTGAGAGATGTTCAATACCCCCTTCTCCCTCTGAAGCCGGTAGAGTATTCTTCACATCTCAGGATCAAGCACTAAGTGGTGTCTAAAGAGACCTAACTCACTACCTGCAGCCAGAGTTCAAGTTGTGCACATGCAGCAAAGGATTCCCCACCCTTCTACTGTGTTTCCCTGTCAGTTTGAGCTCTGCCTAGAGTGATTTGCTGCGGATGGAAAAGAATGTACTTGGCCTTTTTGCTTTAGGTCTCCCAGCATGAGAGAGAGCTCTCTGTCGGGGGGAAAAGAAAAACTGTTACTTCTAATTTCTGTGCTGAACCTGAGAAGATATATCTACTTTGTACCAGGAAGCTGGGTGGGACAATTGATGTGATTGGTGGACAGGCAGGCACTATTAGGAGGGTAGAAGGAAGACGCCGCGATAAACACGCCTCTGAGGAAAATCCCATTCAGGTAAACAGCTTCAAGCTGTCTTCAAACATTTGATATCCCGTGCACTTTCAGATGAACCTTGAGCAATTGTCTGCACTTTCCTGACTATCTACTTCTGTAAAACCTGGGGTTTTGTTTTAAAAGAACACTGTCAAGATTACAAAATAAATCACCAATCATAATGTATGTACATGCCATTGCCCCCCTAGTGGGTGGAATGAGAACTCAACTGTATCAGCCTTACACTGCTAATGGAGAGTCTCTTCCCTCTCCCCCTCCCCCCACACACTGGGACTTCTGTTTTTTGAGCAGGAGGGTCTGAGCTCCCTACTGCTATCATGATGTTCAGCAAATGTTAACTGTGAAGTTCCTAGATGGATTTGTTAGTGTTTTTTCCCCCTTTTTTTAAAGCCATACCTTGTTACTAGTGTGTTCTCCTATTAAACCTGAAAGAATTGTAACAGTCCAATTTACTTTCACTGTTAATTGCTGTCATTTACCTCTTTACATTTTTCTCATGTTGGACAGTAAAACTAGTCTGGTCATTTTCTCTTTCCATTCCCATGCACTAACCTAGTGCTGTTGTGTGGGGGTTTCCAACACTGCAAGGGAATGTTTATGTATCTTTTGTCATTTTTTAAAATTTCAAAATAACATTCATGTCAGTTATTATCAGACATTCTTCACCCTGCAGAATCTAAGTGTTGGGACTGCACTACTTGATGTTTTTAAAAGGGACAAAAAAATTAAGTTACAAACTGGGGGCCTGTTCTGATCTCACTTCAGTGTAACTCCATTGACTTCAGTGGTGTCATCCCATATACAACCTAATGCCCATATTCTGCTGGGATTCTCAGCAGACAGAAGCTAGGGGTTTTCAGAGTCCCCAGAACCTTCTGACCAGAACAGTTCTTTTCTAACTGCCCCCTCCAACCCAAAAAACTAGTGTGCATGAGCCCCCAAAATCTTCTTTTATAAAGTAACAATGTTGGGAAAGTGCAAACAAACCTTTTACTAAGGGTAGGCCCCAGTGGTGCATCAAGGCTAAATCTGCTTAGTAAATTATTTATTCTTCTTCCCCTTACCGAGCGCTGGTGTCTGCATATCCAAATCATTTTGGTGTATGCTGTATACTGAACTTTAAAATAGTGGCAATGTGAACATAAACGGCCAAATTCTCTTGCCAGTTAGACTGGTGTGACTCCAGCAGCGCTCTTTTAATTTTGATGGTGGATTTACACTGATGCAACTAGGAGCAGAATTTGACCCCATGTTGTATTTATGAAGAAAGCAAATTCAAAAACAAATTTTGGAACAAAATTGTCTGTTTAATAAGAGTTAGCATATCACCACTCGAATGGGGCTGCTCTTATTTTGAGGGCTGTGACGTGGGGCCTGATCTCAAGAGTGGCTGTGCCCAGCCCCTCTTGGGATCGGGTTTTAGGCTCGTCCTAAGGGTATTAAGTGCAAGTGACCCATTCAGTCATAATTCTGTGCATCCCTTGGGGAGGGGTATCTCGCATAGGAGTAGATTTGTAGCTAGCTTGGACTCTACCACTTGCTGTGTTCATGCTAGCAAAGATGTCTGTTGACAGGGCATTTCCTTGCATGCTGAGCTTGTGACATCTCCCCTGTAGTGTGCCTAAAGGCTGAGACTGTCCCCAACTTCCTCCCTCCCTATAAATGTTGGGGTGCTTGGGTTCTGTGGCACATGCCCCTTTTGCCAGCACTGGGAGGCACTGATTGCAGGTTCCAAGGGGTAAAATACCATCTTCTATTTTCTGTCTGTCTTTGTTTTAAAGGTTCTTGGAGATCATGGAAATAAGCCACAACCCCCACAGCAGCCCCAGCAACCATCACAGCCCCAGCAGCCACCTCAGCAACAGCCGTTTGTACCACCAGCAGGTCCCCCACCTCCCCCAATTGCTGGGCCACCCCCACCACACTTTCTCCACCCTCCCCCTCCAGTTACTTCTGTCCCACCTCCTCTGCATCCTCCAGGTAGGTATTTGCTCTGAATACAGAGCAATCTTGATGTGTTAATCTGGGTGTGTTAAGTTCAGGTACCTGAGGCTTGGGGAAATCAAAGGAATCTTTAGTATAATTAAGAAATGTTAAGGAACAGTTGAGCAGCCATGTATCAGATCACTGAGATTCAACTAATTCAAACTGTAACTCAGACAGCTGGGGAAACCCCCTCCCCTCTCCCCCCAGCCTTTGGATATATATGCCTTCAAATTCTTCAGGGCTGCTGTTCCTCTTGAATGGCTCTCAGTGTTTTGTTGCAGTCGCTGATGTCACTTGGATACCATGGTGCTTGGCCTCTTACACATGGATAAGTAGACTAGCAATTTCTATTAATCTTTGAAGGAAGGTAGGAACATAGGAATTGCCTCACTGGATCAGACTAGTGTGCTATCTAGATAGTCCAGGATCCTGTCTGACAGATACTTCAGAGGAAGGTGAGACAGCCTGTAATGGACAGTTCTGGAATAATCTGCATAGAGGGGAAGTTTCTTCCTTACTTAGGTTGGTTGGTGGTTAGTTTGTGCCCTGAAGTCTGAAGGTTCATATCCCTTCTACATGTGTATCCTATACATTTTATCATACCTCGTGTCACTGTGGGATATTACTTGTATAAACATCTGAGAGTATAAGCAGGTATTAGAGTTCTGCCCATTTTATTTTTCACTTTTAAGACAATAGTGTGAATGTATGTGCAAATGAGGGGCCTCCCATGGACTCCTGGCAAGCTGTCAGTGTCCCTCAATGTCGCCAAGTTTGTGCTCCCTTACAGATATTGAGTAGGTAGGCATGGTGCTGAGTACACTCAGCACTTAAGAAGACACAATTAACTTAAAAATCGCATCTCCCAGAACGCTTTTTACCTATGGTAGTTATAATGCCTAGGAGGCTAGAACCTGATGAGATGGAGGGAAGGGGCCTCTATTTTGGTCTGGGTATCCCCCCTTTATGTCTTTGGCAATATTTTGCATATAATCCGTTTCTCTTTCTCCTGCACAGCTAGTCACTCACCTTCTTCTGATGTTTGTATAGATCTTACACAATAGCAGCAGGGGGAGAGAAATTTTAACAACAAAAGGAAAAAGCGCTTGTAAAGCCACTCAGCAGTGGGACTCAAGTATTTGTAGACCTGAAACTATTAAATTTATTTTTAGAGTGACTAGATTTCAAGTGGATGGTGGTTCCTTGTATAACAAATGAAATTGTGATGAATTGGTGTATGCTTCACACCTAATTTTAGAGAGGGGCTGATTAGATAGAGGGATTGCATTGTATTCCTGAAGGGAAGAGCATTGTCTAGTGGTAAGAGCAGGGCTCTGAGGGTCAGGAGTCTCAGGTTCTACTCCCATTTCTGCTACTTGATGCACTGTGTGACACACCTTACTGGAGATAACCTATGTGAATTGGGGTTAGATTAGTATTTATTTTCTAGAGAGGAACCAAAATCCTCTCTTTAAAAACATCTGGTTCTGTAGAGTGTGTTGATCCAGGTCCAGAGATTAGATTAGAATATTTACTCTGAATGGACAGTTTGTCATTCATTTATCTTTGACCTAGTGTTGCATGAGTCAGTGTCTCAGGTGAAAGTTAATTAGTCCTTAAACTCTGGTGCTAAAATCACTGTTAGACTCAGGACTGTAGTGGTTTCACATGTATATCTGTCATTGACGTCAAGTGGAGTTTTGGATCAGCCTGTTAAAAAAATGTGCAGGCAAAGACCAAGATGGCTTGCTCATTCATGGGCATTTGCCTGCTGACTGTCCAGGGCATGCACAGTATCAGAATCCTATTGATTCCTTTTTCTAACTAAGCAGCATCAGCAATGGCCTGAAACACCTTTTTCCATTTACTACAAACAAGGCAGTGCCTCTTCCACTCAAGAATTGACCTCACCATGGTGATCAGTGCCTTTATTACTGGTGGGCTGGAATACTGAAGTGAAGGCCACACTTTGGACTTTACCTCGTCCAGGATGCAGCAGCTAGTCTCCTGACTGGAAGAGGTCAGCAAGAGCATATCATACTAGTGCTTCTCTCTTCGCTGGCTTCCTTTTCTGAAGATCCAGAATAAATATGCTTTCAGGGCATCTAATCCATGGAGAACATTATTGCATTGCCTGAGTGATGGATGAAATAATAGCCTCCTTGGTCTTTTCTGCCTCATTTCTATGATGGCTAAAGGTGGGGGAGAAGTGAACAGTTTTTACTGTATATTCTGTTTGCTGAAATATACCTGGCCTCAACCAAACTTCTTGAAGCGGATACTATTAAACCAGGCTCATTAGCTTGTGGTAACAAAATAATGTTAATTTCTTGTTGTTCTCACTAAGTTTGTTTTCTTATTTCCGTAGGCTTGCCACCACCAGGTCCCATTCCAGGTAGGCTATTGATTTGCTTTTAACAGTGGCAGTGACTCAGAATAGTCCTATCTGAGCACTGAAGTAAAGTATGAAATGGAGTGGCTGCGTCTTACCTTGAGGTCAATCAGACTTAGGCTAACATAAGCACTGATAAGCAGTGCAATCTCAAACTTCAACTGCTTAACTTCTAGAGCTCAATAATGATCCATAGGGCCACTTAAAACAATCATTTTATCTTGGAAGAATACTCCAGAAAGCAGCTTAGGTTGGCAGAGGACATCATGAAAGCTTCTTGGTTAAATTTCAGAAGACCTAACTTGTGCCATCATGGGATCTCACATAGTGATGAGTCTTCTGCCAAATCAAAGTGCTTCATGTAAGATTTCAGAGAGAGCGTGAGAACAAGGGGGCAACAATGGCTGTTTTCACTGGACGTTCTCTTTCCCGTGATGTGCAGTAGAGTTGGTGAATGTTAACAAACCAAATGTAACAAGTAAGCTTGAGCCCAAGCTGGAACAGCCCCAAACTTTGAAGAGCTTCAGATCCTGATTGGAACTTCTCATCTCATGCTCATCTCAATGTAAACAATATTGCAGAATGGATTCTTTTTGTTATTGAATGGACCCTGCTCATAGTGAGCTTGGATCTAGGGAAATGCCACTTCTAGCAAAGCAGAGTACAAATCCCGACCTACTTCTGGACACTGCCGTTGCCAGTTGCAATTCTGGTTCCATCTAGATTAAAGTTGTGATGGGCTGGAGGGGAAAGAAATGACTTTAGCTACAGTGGAAGCTTCATATATAGTAATTGGACTGAAAAGGGTAATGCATGGAAAATACCCTGTGATAATTTTTGCTTCTACGGTAATTAGAGGAAGATGCATGACACACTAATAATTATCAGTGCTTTCTCTCAACAATAGCAACTGCTCTAGAGGGATGAGTTTCACAAATGTTACAACTTTCTCTAGTCATATTATCTACAGATTAAAAATCTTTCAAAAATAGGGAAGGGGGGAATCTTGATGACTGTCAGAATAACTTAAGAAAACATATTCTTTTAAAACAACGAAAATAAATGTTTACACTGGAACAATCTAGTGGTTCACTTAGCGTGATGTCCTTGCCATTGGTAATGGCTTATGCAAGAATTTCTTGGTTGTTTGAAACAGGTGATTTTGAAAATTTTACCAAAGTCTCATTTTCAAAAGTGATTTAGCCACTTTGAAAGTCAATGGGATTTAGAAGCCTAGGTACGCAAGTCACTTTTAAAAAGTGGAAAGAGATCATGTGGGGCCCTTCTAACATCCATTTAACTGTCCAGTTTGTGCTCTGCCCTACTGTGGTTTCTGCCTTCTACAGTGTAGTTACGATCAGAAAAGTGATTTTCCCAAAAGAGTACAGTAGGCTTCCATGTTGCATGTCACATTCAGTCACTGTACAGATAAAACCATCACTCTATTTACAGTCAGCCCTAGGGATTTCAACCTGGGATCTGAGAGCCAAGCCTTCAGTCCTCAATGGGACTGCACAGGGTTAATGGAGGGGGAAATTTTCACTCAGTACTGGAGTTGATATTTTGTTGTTGATGCACAAGCCAGAATAGAGTCTGGCTCTTTTTTCTTTATCTGTGCTGTCTCTGTAGGGCAAATAGGAATAAAAAGCAGTAGAGGTTCAATTGTGGTAAGTGCATATGGCTCTGAATACACTCAGAGGTGTGAGTTTGTGGAGTAAGAAGGTGCCATTTCCACATAACTGTTCAGAGTAGAACTGCTTTAATTGCCTAATTTCTGGGGGAGTCTAGCCCCACACCGTAAGCCTTCTGCGGCCTCATCTTGACACTCTGCTTTTATTTATAGGGCTGTTCCCTCCACCTCTGGCTCCTCCACCAGCTCTCCTCATTCCAACACTTGATGGGTAAGGTAGAAGCTTCCTTTGAGTAGATAATTTTCCATCCTGGTTTTACACAGCCAGGTGCAGCTAGACAGTAGAATGGAATGCCTCTGGGTGGGAGGCATAGTAGGGAAATAGGAGCTATCCTGTTTCTTTCACAGTTTTATGAAACACAAAGAATCTTTAAGAAGTACTAAGAATCAAGGTAGCTTAAGGAGCAGGATGTGGGAATACCGTAACTAGGTGTGCTACGTAGTAGGGGACCCATCAGCATGGCCACATGGTATCGGGGAATGCTAGGTTTGTGTTTAGAATATCTGTAGAGTAACTTACAACCTGCACCTGATTTGGAAGGGGAACATGAATTGCCAGGTTTGCAGTGAACTCTTGCTCCAAGCCTTTAATCTGTTGCAGCAAACTTCGCCCTTGGTTTGTCAGTTCACTGGTATCTTGCCATGTCTCACACACGCTAGGAGTATCTTCACAACCAGTATTCAGAATTGTATTGTCGCTTTCACTGTGTTCTTAATAATACCATTTTGCATTTCCCTGGCAGTTTCCATCCAAGGATCTTAGAGCACTTTGCTACTATGAATTATTTCTTATGAAGCATTATTAGCCTCGTGCAGATTGGGGAGGACGACGGAGGACTAATGCTCGTGGAGGCAAAGGGTCTTGCCCAAGGACACAGAACAGGCTCATGGCAGAGCCAGGACTGTAACTTAAATTGCCAGACTCCCAGTCCACCACACCACGTCTTGCCTCAGGGAACCGTCTGTGAGGTGAAAGGATGTGACCTCTGGTCATCTTGCATGACTAAAGTTACCAGATGGCCCCCCCTCCCAAAAAAAAAAATGGTTGGAGATCCTTGCATGAAAAATGCTATGGAGGGCAAAGTGTGATGATTGTTTAAGTGTAGCATAACACATGGCTTTATAGCTATTAAAGAATCTCTCATTTCATTCAAATCGCCACTCCTTCCTTCCCCAAATGATCTCTTTGTCTGCCACCATTCGCTAGAGATGAACAAACTCATTCCTATATTACATTAATTTACACAATTTTTTGCCCAAAACATGAGTGAACCTAAGTAGAACCTTTTCTTAGACTCTGATAAGCTTTCCTAACTTCTCATTTCTAGCACAATCTTCCGTTTTCACACTGCCTCTGGCCTTTTCAAGACTGACCATTTTCCTGAATTTTGTTGTGGTCACTATAGGGCATCATGGCAAAGAGGAAGGAGGATCTGTGACTAGAGGGAGGGGAGACTGTCAGGGCTTCTGGCCAGAGCCAGTCCCTCCCTTCTGGTCTCCATCCTTTCATCAAGACCTTCCACTCTGTCCTGCCTCTCCCTACTGCCAGATCCCACATCCAGCCTCAACCCAGGGCAATGGAGGGAAACTGCAGCAGCCAGGAGTGGAGACTTGTTGGCCTGGAGACCAGGCAGGTGTGAAGAACCCAGCTTGGATTTCAGGAGTTGAACAGAAGCAAGGGGGTTAGGAGGAGACTCATGGCATCTGGGGGGCGGGGAGGGGTCCTGTCTTAATCTCTCCATTGAGTTAACAGTAAGTGTATTGCAGGCTCTCGCTCTGTGTGCTAAGCTGATGGCAGGTAACTGATGTTAGTAACTGGTGTCCTTGTGTTCTCTCCAAAGCCAACCTACCGGCTACAATAACAGGCAGCCTCCACCATTTGGATACAACTCTGCAGGTGAGCACGGAAGCCACAGGATGGTGGAACTGACTGGGCATGGGGCTGGCCAGAGGGTTGTTAGTAACTTACAGCTAGGCTGACCTATGCCTCTGTCACTGTGACCTTTGAAGCTGTGTCTGCGCTCCAGACCGCCCAGTCGCTGACAGCGGGTGTTGGTAATGGGCCTAGCAGTAAACGTTCTAGACAGTCTTAGATCAGCTGCACTCTCTGAAGTGACTCTGACCCAGGTGATGCTTGTAATTAAATAGTTCTCATTCCTGTATCAGCTGCCCTCAGTACCCAACTCCCATGTCAGCAACAGAGAAGCTTCCTAGTGCAGCCATGGGTCCCTGGCTTTTTCCAGGGAAGAACACGCCCCCAGCCAAATTTCAGGCTTTTCCTGCATGAGCCTTTGAATGTCCCTCTCCCACCCCTGCTGTATCCTCCCTCCTTGCAACATGTACACACCCTGCCTAGGCACACTCACAAGCATCTGTCTCCTGATGGCAGAGGCAGTAACAGTGTTTCAGTAGATTTCCTTCCCCACTACAACCCTGCCCGTGCTGCCCATGTCCTTTCCTGTTTCTTTAGTCCAGCTGGCTCCTGTCCTGGGTCAGCGGCACTTGCAAGTGGTGCCTATCCATCTAGTAGGCAGGATTGCAGACGCTGACATCTTCCTCCCTCTCTTGGGGGAGAGGGAGGTAGGGACTGCAGAGTATGGGCATGAGGCATCCTGAGAAACTGCAGCCTTCTAATCTAGTATTCCTTCAAATAAACATCCCAGCAGCAGCCTGTACCATCTCAGGCTGTGACCTTGATGGCCCTTTCCAATGAAGCAGGACAATGGCAGGTCAATACTTGAATGAGACACCTCCAGGGAGATTGGTGGTGGTCTGGGATTCACTAGGTGTCACTCTTTCCTTTGCCAGCACTGAGACCTCGGCATGATATTTCAAAGCACTTCTTAATTCAACATCTGATAGAGAAAGAACCTGGGATTTACCTGCTGCAGGCACCAGCCCTAACCCTGCAAGGGGTCAGGGGCCAGACCTCTTGCTCTCTGAGCTAACAGAGCTGGCTAGGAATCTTGAAGACCAAACCATAGACTCTGCTGGCTGATCAAAAAGAGAGAAAGTGCCAGGGCTTCTCAGGATCCTTTGTCTTGACCTCCTGCTCAGAGGATGCTGGCTGGGGAAGGAAGAAATGATGGGCTTCCTGGGGGAGGACCAGTAACATGGCCAAGTGGGCAGCTGTGATCCACAGAGGGCAGGTGTCAGCAGCTCCTATTTGAATATCCTTAATCAGTGCCTGGAGTGATTGCGGCAACATCTGCCTCTTTCTGGCCTAGGGAGATGATGCTTAAAACTTGTTAGAATATCATACATGAATATGCAAGGGGGAAATCAGGGGCTCATGGGTAAAGAGGTGGGGGTTGAGTTAGTGGTTATTCAAAGGGAGTAGTGTCACCTCCTGATCCAGCAGTACCACTAACTAGAGCACCTACATGTTACTGGGTGAGTCCCAATCCCAGATCTGACCTAGGCCAAACCTGCTTAGGTTGCAGGATCTGACGAAATTGCTGCCCAATGTGGCCTGGTTGCAGGGTGCGGAGAAGCATGTCTTCTTTCCCCACTGGGTCAGCGTAAGGGGCAGCACTAACCCTTCAGGCAAGTGAAGGTTCTGCTCTCTCACTGCAGATTCTGGTTTCATCAGCTACCCTCCTATTTCCACGTCTCACACGCCCTGGGTGACGACAGTGGATAAGGGCACGAGCAGCTCCAGCAGCAGCCACTGGGAGTACTCCGGCTCAAGGCGTGAGAGAGACAGGGAAAGGGAAAGGGAGAGAGACAGAGACCGGACTCCAACCACCAGTGAATACAACAAGTAAGCATGGTAGTCCACGTGACACTGCAATGGCCTCCCAGGGAGGGGGCTAGGCTCTGCCAGATAATAACTTCCATGCTCTCACCACACTTACAGTAGTCTTGTTGAAGGACTCAATGCTCACATGTCCCCACCAAGTCCTGCTGGGAGGCGACAGCACTGGTCAGTAGCTAGAGCACAAGAACAAGAGATAGGACACCTGGGTTCTTCTCGGCCGTTGACTTGTTATGCAACCACATAATCTCCATGCCTCAGTTTCCCTGATTGTAACACAGGGCTAATGACAGATTATATATCCACCTTTTGTGTAAGGCACTTTGGTCTCTGGATGACAAGTTCTATACAAATGCTATTATTCTGTAGTTTCAAGATGAAAAGCTTCTAAATGTAACAATACTGTAATTTTGATGGGAAACTGCCCCCTTTTGCTGAGCCCCATGGTCTGAAAGCTTGTGGGATAAGGAGCACTGTTCACCGTGAACATGCCAGGCAGTGTAAATCCTTAATGACAATGAGCATTTCTCTGGAGACAGCCACCTTGCTGGGAATTAAGTGTGATTTAAGGGGACAGCAGCCATGAGAGAGCTCAGTGAAGGAGGCTGCAAACCGGAGACACAGGAAAGATTAGACAGTTGCTGTTCTTTCAATGCAGTTGCTTTGCACTCTCCACCATAGGCTTTCGTGATGTTACTGTTGTCATCAGCACTGTTGATATTTTTGCAAGCGTCACGCCCAGCAATGCCAGTAGTTGCTGAAAACATCACCAAAATATATGTTTATTCCTGGCAAAGGGTGCTGCTTGGTCTGGGAACTTCCAGGCCACTGAGCTGAGCAAACAAGGCAGTTTTCTTGTAACAGAGAGCTTTTTAAAAAGGCTTCAGGCATTTTGGAAGGTGATCAGGCAGGGAAGGAATGAGGATGTTAACATACTGGAATTTGTAAGGCTCCTGTAATTCTGGGGACATGAATCATGTGATCTGCTTAGCACTCCAGGCACCGTGCTAGAATTTTTAGTTGCTGTAGAGTATGTTCGCATCTAGAAGCTTAAATTGTATTCACCAGGTAGGGCAAGTCACAGTAATCAGGTAAGCCCATTTGAGGTGATAGTTTCCAGATGATACCTCTTTCTTTGATTCTGTCTGATTGCTTCTATTTTGGGAGTTTTCTTCTTTAACTTGTTTCCGTAGGTCACAAAACAGCGTTTCATTCTTGTTTCCAACTGTGGGACTTGGGATCTTTTGGGGGTTTAGTATTCAGTGTTTTTATGGGGAAGAGGAGTTATAAGACAGGCATAGAGGAGAAGAGAGTGGGAATTGCAAAATGTGTCTGCATTTTGGATATGCAGTTTTATATAGAAGAGAGTGAGATGTTTAGGCTGGAGAAAGGGTGCAGACCATAAGATCATGTGGTCTCTGTGTGCATCGTACCGTTTTCTTAGGCACGTGTTTGTTTATCTATATTTGTGTGTAATTAAATAAAAATAGACTCAAGCAAAGTGATGTAAAAGTAGCCTGAACAAGAGTACTGCAGAGTATAGTCCTGCACTAGCAGAGTGGAGAGATACAAGGACCACGTTTCTGGGCCACTTTGGTCATTTCCTTCTAGTTTATGGAAAATGTAGAGCAAGACTGAACAATGGTGAGAGGGCGTATCACAAATGTGTTCCAGAAAGACCACCTGGGCAAAGGCCAGGTTCTCTGCCACACACCCACGTATAAGAATACTCTTTAGACTCTTTTACATCCTTATAGAAACTCTAAACCATTCTCTTTAGTTGAGATCTCGTATACCTTGTGTAGGAGGGGTTGGAGTGTGTTGTGGGAGGGCCATGGATGGGAATAGGCAATGATTATTTGTTTATTATTACAGATAGTTGCATGAATGTTTGTTGAAACGTGTGTGTTGATCTGAACTCCAGTGTTGTTTCTGAGCTACGAAAAGCAAGAAACGTTAAGCTCATGGACTTACAAGGGTTTTTCTTTTTAAATATCTGTTCTGATTGTGCTAATAGAGAATTCCAGACTAAATCAACATTGCACTTTGCCAAGAGGTGATGTTTCCCTTGGGGGCATGGGGGTCTGCATATAGGTCAGGTTGTGAGTAGATGAGGCCCTCTGAGACCCTGGGATTTCACAGGCTTCAGGAACATAGCTCAGTTTATTAGAGGGCAGGCTCAAGTGCTAATGAGTAGTGTATTCCCCCTCCTCTGTCTAGCAGCTCCCTCTGCCTCACTGTACTCTTGTCTCTCCCCCAAAGCGATGATGAGCGATATCGCTACTACAGTCGAGAGCGAAGCTATGATTTTGAGCGGGATTATCGCAGGAGTAGAGATCGGAGCAGAGAGCGGGAGGATCGCCACCGGGAGCGCAGGCACAGAGAGAAGGAGGAGAGCAGTAAACATAAGTCTTCAAGACGGTAAGATTCCTTGTTGGTGGAGCGGGCCCTTTAAGTGGGAGTGGATCTTGGCTCAGGACAGAGGCTGGAATATCCACAGCAAACCTGACCTCTAGTCCATTCTGGCATTGCCTATGCCTGTGACATTGTCCAATATCTGATGCTTCAGAGGAAGGCAAAATCCCCATAAGTAATGCATCTGGCCAGGGATTCAGAGCCATCCTTGATAGGGGAAGGCTTCCTTTGTATTACTGTGTATTCATATTGTACATTCTAGAGAAGCAAGGCTATCTATGGGAATCTGGCAAAGCGCCATCTGTAGGTCCCCCACATTGGTTCCCAGCAGGGATACTGCTGGTCATGGACTCTGCACCAGGAGACTCTCACTTTCCATGAAAAGAAAATGTCAAACTAAAATAGGAAGGAAAAACTCAGCTGTGCTCTGCTGGAACAATGGACCGGTCCGCTCCAAGGGGTGTGCACAGGATGGAGGGTTCAGTCCGCTGGTCTGAACTTCACTCCTGGAGCAGGGGGGTAGTGTGGTGCAGGGCTATGGCACTGGCTTAGCAGTCAGGAGATCTGGGTGGTGTTCCCATCTCTGTTGGTGAGTGATATTGCCTGAGTCACTGTCTCTCTCAGGGTGCCCCCCACCCCCAATAAAATGGAGCTAGTGATGCTCTGATAAAGAAATCACTCATGGAGCAGATCAGGGTGTTCGTGAATCTCCACTCCTTCAGAGCAAAATGTAAACTACTTCTTGAACCAATCCTTCCCAAAATAGCACTCCCATCAACAAAATAACAAGCTTAAAATCCAGCCTCTGACTTCTGAATTAATATGCTTCAGAATTCTGGGAGCTGCTCAGATACCACAGCAATGGGCATCTTGTTAACAGTGTAGGTAGATTTTTGGATCTAAGGGCATGTCTACACTACAAATTTAAGTTGACCTATGTTATGTTGACTCACAGCCTTACTGTGGTGGTTCATGTTCACACTGCCCTCCTTGTGTTGGTGGTGCACGTCCTCTCCAGGAGCCCTAAGAGGGGCAGTGTGGGGGGCCGAGAGCCCAGGCTCTCGGCTCTGCGGCTTCCCCCCAAGGGCTCTCGGCTCCCTGCCAGGAGCACGTCAACCACCCGGGCTCCCAGCTGGAGCTCCCCACCTGCCCGAGGGTGACAGCTGGAGCTGTAAGCGACAATTGTCAAGAATGGCAGCCAACAGCTGCTGTATGTAACTGACAGAGTGTCTATATGGATACTGCGTCATCCTAACTACACCGACATAAGCCCTACATCTCTCATGGAGGTGGAGTTATGTCAATGTAGTAGGGCACTTACATTGGAGGGAGCAAGGCTGCAGTATGTACACTGACATAATTAGGTTGATGTAAGCTGCCTTATGTTGACCTGACTGTAGTGTAGACCAACCAGGCCTTAGCATTTCAGGCTGGTTCTCTGGAAGAGGGAAAAAAATGCCTTCTATTCATGTAATTGATGTATCAGAAAAACCTTCTCTCTGAAGACTAGAGGTAAAATGCAGGTCTCATCTTTCAGGATGCACATGAATTTCTCCAAGAGGTAATGACTGCTCTCTTGGTGTAAAGGAAGGGTTAGAATCTCACAAGAGGGTGGGAACCACAATGAAAACCGAACTGAAAACAAATGGAAGCTTGTGCTAGTTTAATAACAATACTCCTGATACCCAAGAGATTTGATGTTGTAGTAGGAATACAGCAAATCGCTTGGCTGTACAAGCAGTGTGAACTCTGTTGAAATGATGCCAAAAGCTATTAGCGTGCTTAGATAGAGAATTAGGATACAGAATGCCAGCTGGAAATGAAATGCTGAGAGAGATTTTCCTCTTGCTCTCTTTAAAAGCAAGCACTCCCCTGTTTGAGCAGTCCAGAGTGCTTGGATGAGAATTGTTTGTTCCGCTGAGTAAATGGTGAAATCCACGTAGAGTGTTTTTAAAGGTGGCTTCGAATTACAATTGCATTTTGGAGCCTAGTGCTTGAGGTGATCATGCTAGTAAGATCTGACGTCATTTGGGACTCTTGGAGTGGGAGAAGGGGCTGGGTTTCAACCTGCTTTAGGTTAGATTTAAGTCTGAAGAAAATCTGTCATGTTTACAAATGAAGCCCCCATTTCAAATGTTCAAGACCTTTGAGAGGAAGGATGGTTGTGTGGTCAGAGCGCAGGGTTGAAAACAAGCAGAAGTAAGTTCAGTTCCTGGCTCTGCCATTGATGTGTTGGGTGGCTGGCTAGGAGATACCATCTGTCTCCCAGGTGCTGGGAGGCTTATCTCCCTGTGCAGGAAATGCTGTGAGATCCTTGGAGGGAAGGTATTAAGTTAACATGCCAAGAGTGGTTTCTTTTTATGATAATGGAACCATGATTAAAGTAAGTTAGAAACTGACTTGCAGCCTTGGGATTTTTACACAGGACCTGAGTGTTCAGCAAGAGGTGCACCTTCACCACTGGGCTTGGGAATGCCAGTTCTAATAAGAATGTGTTCACATGCTCTGCGTGAAGGTATCCATGTGCTAAACTCCATTTACACTCCCCTGGGAGCTACTTATCTGCACTTTATCCCCTACACAACCCTGCTGCATTGGTTTGTCCATTCTTAACCCACAGAGCAACTGCATGCTCATTTTCTCTCTTTAAAAACAAAACCTGGCAGAGAAACCTTCACACCTTTGGGAAGCAGGAAGGAACCTTCCCACACAGTCCTGTGGCCTGAGACCTAGGATGGGGAAAGTTCAGTCCTGGGCCAACACCTGGCTTATCAGAGGTAGAATTGGGCTGTTTTGTCCAGGTAGGAAGCCAGCAGTTCTCTCTGCCAGTAGGATCAGTCTTTCCTTTCCAACCTGGGTAAATCCCAAGAGATTCTGCGTAGAAAAACTAGTGTAGGTAAATTTTCAGCAGTCTCTCAAATGTATTCTTGTCCTCTCCCTCAGCATCCCCTACACAGCTTGCATTCCCTCCACTCATTATTGGAGCCCGGCTTTTACAGGTGGAGGAATACCAAAAATAGTCCTAGTAAAAGCCCCAAGCTATTCCTACAACAGCCTCTGTCAAATATGTGGCATGTACAGATTACATAATGGTGCACCATGGCAGAAAGGATTTATTAGCATCCACTTGGGCCAACCTGCGTAACTCCCTCATGGTTTTGACATTCAAGAGTAAGAAGAGCATCCCAAACGAGTGCTGATAAAACCTTTCTGTGGCATCACATTTATTCTAGGTCAAACATGTCGTCCTTGTCGGCACCTTTTGTCATAGGTACAATTGAACTTCTGTGGCAGTTGGCCGTGCTGACACTTGATTCTGGTTTCTCTACCCCTTCCCCCTCATTACAGTAAGCAGCACGAGAGTGAAGAGGGTGAAAGCCACCGGCGCCACAAACACAAAAAGAACAAGCGCAGCAAAGAGGAGAAGGAGGCCAGCGATGATGGTGTCGCAGAGGGAGATGAACAAGATGCTAAGGAGTAACGGCTCCCAGCTGTCCTTTAGGAGGGACTTGCTCCTTTGCAAGCAGCGTGGCATCTAACTTTATTTTCCAAGGGAAGCAGAGATGACTCTGGTGGCCAAGTATTGAAACGCAATGTGACAGCTCAAGCGTTAAGGCTGAACACAGTTAAACTTGGATACGAGACAAAGTATGGCAGTGATGGTATATACAGCACCGAGCTACTCTTCTTGTAAATGACCCTAGAAGAACTTCATTGTATCAGATCCTATGGTTTCTGATGAAAGACAGCTTCAGCTGAAACTAACGTACTTAGGTGATAGGGTTTTTTTGCGCAACCATGATTCCTTTTTTTTAAAAAGTAGGACAGTAACTGCAAATTGAACTCTATTGTCCAAAGAAAAGTGTGATTTAGGTCCTCTGTGAGCCAGTTTAGAATCTGGTGTCTGTTAGTGAAAGTCTCATCCCCAAATCCATTTCTTTATAGCTATGAAAGTATCTCTCATCTGTCCATGGCAGGATTGGCAGCATGTGGAAGGGAACTACTTTACAGGTGTGTCATTTGAATCTGCTTTGGTCTAATGGCTTTTAAAAGGTAGGGCATTCAGAGACTTCAAACCCAGCTTTTTTTTTTTTTTTTTAAACCCATTGAGAATGTAGTTCTACTACATGTTATACCTGTAAATGGAAAGTCATGATCCGTGGAAGACTGTGGTGAGAGTATGAGTTCCTTTTTTAAATTAGTTTGGATTATTTTTTTTGTAACAATTGAGATAAATAATCTAACACCTTAAGGAACATGAAGCCCCATCCAGCAGTTTGACATTGTTGGGTTTATTTATATTCATCACTAATACACCTGTGCAATGCATTTCACCCTGCCTCCTCCCCATAGATCTCAGAATAATGCAATCAAATTCCATGCTCTGTTTGATTTAGGGTTTGTTTAGTTTTTAAACAAATTTCTCAGTGGAAGGTGGGGGTTTGTTGTGTATACCTGGTTCTTAAACAGAATACTGCACTTGTTTGTGTGAATCCACAAGTATCTCATTTTAAGTATCTTCCACTTCTATGAATTGATATTTAAAAATGTCTTAAATCCTTCCCCAAAAGAAGATGGTTCTGAAATTTTACATATGATTTTTTTGTACTGTAGTCATGCAAGTCTGAGTGTTGTGTGAAGCTTACAGCCTTTGAAACTTGAGCCCGTACAGCATGATATCAATTTGTATGCTATGACACTGCATTTGATGGGTCATTAACTACAAAACCTGTGGGAAGCAGAATAAAGCAATTTTTTTTGTAAATGTGGGTTTTAAAAACTTTTTCCATTGTCTTGAAGCAACAGAATCGTATGCAGTGCATACTGAAGGCAGAGGGGGAAAAAAACCCAGACCACACTTAAATGTATTTACTCCCTTTTCAGTGCTCTGTGCAGCCATGCCTCAACTTTAACAGAACAATTTGGCTCTGGTGATGAGATCTATGGAGTATTTCATGTTACCATTTAGGAGTCAGACTAGGTCAGTAGTGATTAGCTTTTGTGGTGACATCTGCAAAGAGTTAGTGGTATCTGTCTAGTTCTTAATGTACAAGAGGCCAGGTTGGCAGAGCAGCCCAGCACTGGGGAGTTCAGGCATACTGTGGAAAACAGTACAAGGATCACTTTGTACTAGCACTGCTCTGGCTCTAGAGCGAAAGCTTCATTTTCTAGCCATGTTCATTAGGCAACTTTAATGAGCACTGAATTTATTCATTTTTGGAGAGGAAAGGTGTCCTTACTACGAGGGGAGGAAAAGGCCATACCAGGAACACTTGCTTAGAGCAAAGAGGGTGTAAAAGGTATTCAACATGTGCCCAATATATAAAAATGTAGGGCTGTCAAGCGCTTAAAAAAAAAAAATTGCACTGTTAAACAATAGAATACCATTTATTTAATTATTTTTGGATGTTTTCTACATTTTCAAATATTGATTTCAATTACAACACAGAATACAAAGTATACAGTGCTCACTTTTTATTTTTGATTACAAGTATTTGCATTGTAAAAAAAGCAATAGTATTTTTAAATTCACCTAACAAGTCCTGTAGTGCAATCTCTCTGGGTAGGTCTATACTTACCTCCGGGTCCGGCAGTAAGCAATAGATCTTCTGGGATCGATTTTATCGCGTCTTGTCTAGATGCGATAAATCGATCCCGGATCGATCCCAGAAGTGCTCATCGTTGACGCCGATACTCCAGCTCAGCGAGAGGAGTACGCGGCATCGACGGGGGAGCCTGCCTGCCGCGTCTGGACCCGCGGTAAGTTCGAACTAAGGTACTTCGACTTCAGCTACGTTATTAACGTAGCTGAAGTTGCGTACCTTAGTTCGAAGTGGGGGGTTAGTGTGGACCAGGCCTTTATCATGAAAGTTGAATTTACAAATGTAGAATTATGTTAAAAAAAACCTGCACTCAGAAATAAAATGTAAAATTTTAGAGCCTACAACTCCACTCAGTCCTACTTCTTGTTCCGCCAATTGCTCAGACAAACACATTTGGTTACATTTGCAGGAGATAATGCTGCCTGCTTCTCACTTCCAGGTAACACTAAACAAGAATAGGAGTTCTCATGGCACTGTTGTAGCTGGCGTCGCAAGATATTTACATGCCAGATGCGGTAAAGATTCATATGTCCCTTCATGCTTCAACCATCCTTCTAGGGGACAAGAGTCCATGCTGATGCTGGGTTCTGCTCGATAACAATCCAAAGCAGTTTGGATGGACACATGTTCATTTTCATTATCCAAGTCAGATACCACCAGCAGAAAGTTGATTTTCTTTTTTGGTGATTTGGGTTCTGTAGTTTCCACATGGGAGTGTTGTTCTATTAAGACTTCTGCAAGCATGCTCCACACTTCATCTCAGATTTTGGAAGGCACTTCAGATTTTTAAACCTTGGGTCGAAATCTCACATCGGTACCTTCTTTGTGTTCTGTCAGATCTGCACTGAAAGTATTCTTAAAATGAATAACCTGTGCTGGGTCATCATCCGAGACTGCTATAAGATGAAATATACTCCCCCAGGAGTTCGGTCACAAATTTCATGAATATTTTTTTAATGAGCATCATCAGCATGGAAGCATGTCCTCTGGAATGGTAGCCAAAGCACGAAGGGGCATACGAATGTTTAGCATAGCTAGCACGTAAATATCTTGCAATACTGGCTACAAAAGTGCCATACAAATGCCTGTTCTCACTTCCTGGCAACATTGTAAATAAGAAGCAGGCAGCATTATCTCCTGTAAATGTAAGCAAACTTGTTTGTCTTAGCAAGTGGCTGAACAAGAAGTAGGACTGAGTGGACTTGTAGCCTCTGAAGTTTTAGATTTTTGTTTGAGTGCAGTTATGTAACAAACTATATTTGTAAGTTGCACTTTCACAACAAAGGTTGCACTATAGAACTTGTATGAGGTGAACTGAAAACTATCATTTTTACAGTACAAATATTTAATAAAATATACACTTTGGTTTCAATTACAACACAATACACAATATATGAAAATGTAGAAAAACATTCAATTGGTATTCTATTGTTTAACAGTGCAATTAAAACTGCGATTAATTTGAGTTAATCGCGTGAGTTAACTACGATTAATCGACAGCCCTAATAAAATGCACTGAGGAAGTCATTTGGTAGGACTTCAAAACTTTGGATTAGCAACCAGTCTTCACTTTGCCTGTATAATATTGCAAAGGTGGTGGTGATCACCCTTAGGTAGGGTGACAGTGCTGATATTTGGAGTTTTTCATATATAGGTTTTTATTACCCCATCCTGATTTCCCCCCCCCCCCACTTTCAGCTAAAGTGACAGGGCAGAGCAAACCAATGGAAGTCATTTGCCTGCCAACCTCCCCCGCAAATAAATGCTTTATAGTTCTGAATGGGGTGGTAGAGGTACTATTATTATGGACACCCAACAACTGTGTAGCTCAATCATCACAGAAGGAAATACGCCAGTGCTATAGTGTCTAGAGACTTAAGGTATGTCTACACTGCAGCTGTGAGTATGTCTCCCAGCGTGTGCTAGCTCTGCTCAAGCTAGTGCATAAAAGAGCAGCATGGATGTTGTGGCATAGGTTAGCCACCTGAGTCAGGTAGACTTTTAGCTGGGGGAGTGGAGGGGGTTAGCCCAGCCACTACCTGTGCCACAATATCCATACTGCTATTCCTAGCATGTGCATCTGAGCTGGGCTGGCTGCACTTCCACCTGCTGCATAGACCCATATGATCTGTGCATACTTATTTTAACCTGGTATAATGCCACTGACTTAATCCAGAATTTTGCCCTTTGTCTCCTTCAAATTCCTCTCCCTCCTGACTGCATACAGGACGCTTAGGGACAGAGTGGGGCTATAAGAGTGATGGAAGCTAATACAGAGCATGTCCATACCTGGGTAGGATTTCTCCTCCATGCCTACTGCATTACTGTGCCCTGTACTCTCATTGATTGGCTTCAGGGGAAGAGGATGCGGAATCTCATGAATAACAGTTACTGTCCTAAGTTCCACTTGCGCCCTGGATCATTGCATGTTTTTGTAGAGATGTGGCCCAATTAGTCACTTTACCATTAGATGGAGCTACTGTACCAGGGAGGCAGCTGGCCTCTGGCTTGAAGGGAGACACTCTTGGTCTTCTCTGCAATGATAACTTGATGTCAGGAGAAAAAAAAATTCTTGTTAGCTGATGAGCATATTTTTTTTACAGGAGAATGGCCAGAAGATGGGATTCTGCACTAAGTAGTTTGTAACCATTTCACCTCGTGCGTGCACCTTATTTGTTTGCCTGTTATACACACTGGGTCTGTATCTGCCCTTGTTGTAGTCAGGAGGTTGAAAAACATTTTGCATAAAATTTTCATAACTCAAAATCTTGACCACTTTTAGTCCAAAATAATTCCAGTGTGAAAGTGGTGTAAAGTCAGAATCTGGCCCGGTGTATACACTAATGGATGTACAGGACTTGGTGCTAAACACTAGGATGAGGTAAGAGAGAGGATGAGTTTAACATTTGGAAACAAGCATTTTGCCAGAGCCCTCTTATCTGCTTACCAAAAGGAAATGTAAACTTGCCTCACTTGAAGAAAAGCTTTAGAGGTTAATGCAGGGAGCCAGGGATGATTTAGAAAGGCATCAAGTTCTGTTTCACAGCCGGTAGAACCTTTGGCAAGTAATTTCATACCTGTAAAATAGGGGTAATAGTGAGGGTGGTGGTAAATGTGGAAGTACTTGGATAGCTGTACCCAAGGACACCATTGGTTAATAGATACTATTCTGATTTGGGAACATTTTATATGCTCTTCATATTCACTAGTATAAATCACTAGCCAAGGTTCAGGCCCATGGAGATACAGGCCCAGGTCATCTTCAGCTAGACCAGCTCTCTTCCTGGGAGATGCAACATGACAAGCTTATTTCCTTCCACTGGCAGAGGCTAGGATGCTTCCTGTCTTGGTCTAGAACCTGTTGGAGAAATATCCACTATGGATCAGGCATCCCATTTTGAAACCCTCAGGTAAGAACACTCACCATATTTTCTAGTCATTTTAGAATAACTTAAAGGCATCAAAGCTATTCAACATTTATTAAGATGATTCTACATGTTCAATGCAAACAATATGTACTAAGACTTCTTAGTGATGCTGAAGGCACCTAGAAATAAGACGAAGTAATGGTAAAATCACAATGCCTTTTGCAGCATCCCCTTCATTTAAAAACATATCCCACCACCACAACAGCATGGCTGTTAATAAGGGACAAATGTTACAATAGCAGCAGACACTGCTCTAAGTTAATAGTAACTAGACTTTGAATGATTAGATTTATCAGTTAGTATTGGTATGCATCCACATCACCATACCCACACAAACCGATGAAAAAAATATTTCCATTGGTAATACATTTACGGAGGCAAAGGAAGAAAAATGCTGCTTGATAAATCTGATTTAAGGATATTTACTTTGTATATCTTCACACCTGATTGACAGTTTGTGTTGTAATAGTTACAAAGCTAACTTTTTGAAATCAACATCTACTGTTTAATAATTCTGATCCCTTCATAATTTCCCACAACTGAAACTTTAAATAAATTATTAAACCCATAATTTTGCACAACTGAATTTAAAACTGATTAAAATTTTTAAACAGTTGTCAATTACAAAAAAAACCATGGAATTCTGCCAAGCCTAACAGTCTCTCAGATCTAACCAGAGCTTTGTATGGTCCAAGGCTCTGCTTATGTATCTTTGTATGGAAAAGACCAAAAAAAAAACCCACTCCTGAAGTTCTGCATTTCCTTCATTTCAGATGGAGACTGAGTTAATCATACTAGTTTTTTCACAGGCAGCTTGCTGACTTCTGAATTTTTACTCTTGCTGTTCAACATGTCAGGAGTAAGAGGCCCAGAAGTCCTGCTGGCCTAGAAAAACTGCAGTCTAAATCCACAGTAATGTTTTATCAACTGAAGAAAGGGGCTGCATAATGCACCATGGAAGCTTTCATAACTGAACTATTGGCTCTTAATGAGCTTTGATAAGAGTCCTTACATACAACCTGTAGCTAATAGCTAAAAGCAAGTTAAGTCACTTGGTGTATAAACTGTTAATCTAGCAAGGAACAGAACTCTGATCTGCTGTAGTGGCTAATTTACAAGTAGCCAGCTCTGTCCTGCAAGGCTCTGCTTAAGAAGACAGGAGCTCCTACTCCATTATGTTTTTTAAAAGAAATCGCTCTAGCTAGTATTTTTACAGGGGGAGATGTAAGAAATGAGTTTCCTTTCATTTCTATTATGGTCCACGCTGGTCAGAATGAAAGCTGTAGAGCTAGCATATTTCAACGGGTTTTCTGTTTTAACAGTGAAAACCCTCAATCATTTCTACTAGGGATTAGAATTAAATGTAATATATAATAAACAAAAATATTTGAGGAATACCTACTATATTCTGAATTTTCCCAAAAGCCCAGCTTATCAATGTCCGATAGCCAGAATAGCTTTATACCTCAGGCTTCAAAATTCTACTATATAGTTAGGCTTGGAAGAATCTAATCATCAGTGGCAGTAGCTATCTATTTCACCGTATACACACGCAAACTGACATTTCCAGCAATAATTGTAATTTACAGATAAGCCAAGAAAGAAAAATGCTGCTTGAGAACTTTAGCATACATCTACACAAAATAACAAACCTTGGCAGAGAGTTTCAGAGCCTGGGGCAGCTGACTTAGGCTCACAGAAAGCTAAAAATAGCAGTGTAAATGTTGCCTAGGGTCTGGAACCCAGCAAGGTTGAGAAGGATATTCTCTTTGTATATTTTGACATGTGCTGTTGACAATTGGTGTTTAAATGGTTTATAAAACTTTCATTTTTTAAATCTCCATGTCTGTCATTAAATTATAAGCCTTTCCCCCCAATGTCCTGCAACTGAAAGATTTTAAAAAAAGCTTAAACATCTTATCTGTTGAAATTATAAAAAAAAATTAATGAAATTCAGCTAAGCCTAAATATACTGCACGAAGTTCACAAACCAAAATGGATACTGTCCTTTTGGAGGTAGTTCATTTCACATACAGTGGTTGAAGTGTGGCTGGAGGTGGTGGTATATAATTTGGTCATGTCATTCTACCACATTCTTAGCTCTGCTGGGTGGGAGGGAAAAGTGGTGAATATGAGAGGCAAAAAAACATCACTTTCAGACTATCAAGAAACTATGCATAAAAGCAACGAGGTTACTTCCTGGGGGCAGACTTTTCTTGGGAATAAGTGGGCCCATTGTGTTCAGACAGCCCATTTCTACATTAAAAAAAGATGGTTTTAGTAAAATCACAAGGCAAGGAGAGCAGAGTTGAGGAAGGGTTAGAAATCCAGCAATTCACCAGGAGTAAGGATTTCTGCACAAGCCAACACAATGCATTAGTACTAACAGGAATTCTTAATCTACCTGACAACAAAAGGGTTGAAAAAAATACTAGACTTCTATGGGCAAGAAATGTAAACACCACTGGTAATGAACCATTTTATCAGTCCATGTATTTAGAGTTTTATTAGCGGCTTTTAAAAACAGATACAAAATGGCATGTCCAAGTACACCAGCCAACCAGTGACCCTTGACCAGTGTGTGAAACATTACTCTTATTTTAGGAGATTAGGTATGTTTTAGTTACAATTATTGGTTTAGCACAGCTAAAATAGGATTTGGAGGAAAAAAGGAGACTGGCTCAAAATAGAGATGCACAATTCATATAGACCACTGGAAAAATAACTGTCCCCACAATAATCCTGTACTGATTAGAACTCCATGATGAAGCTAGTGAAAGTGCCGCTCCAATCTGCTACAATGTTGGATCTAAAATTTAGATATATCAACAAGCTACATTTGCCTTCATCAATTCTGGAAATGTTTTCTTCAAATAGGAAATGAAAGCCTACTGGATAGTACACATCATATGCCAAGAGTTCAGGGTTTCCTTGGTATGCCTGCCACATGTTTCGCTATCCCATCAATCTAATGAGCATCTGGTCCCAAAGAGGCTCATAAATCAAGTGAACATAGATTTGGCTTTGATGTTTACACAAAACTTCCAGGCCAAGACACAACTGTAAGAGTGACTTTGTTCTTCTGTTCTTTCAGCATGGGAATTAGCTCAGAGTTGCTCATTCCTACAGCAGATACTCCATTTACTGCCACTATTTCATCTCCGCACCTAGCAAGGCAAGAGGAAACTTCTGTCAGGATAAAACTCAAACCCTCCATTATCTGTATTACAGTTGCACCTAGGGACCCTGACTGATCAAGGTCCCATTGTGCTGAGCACCATACAAACCCAATAAGTGTAAACTCTTTGGCAAAGGACTGTCTATCTAAATTGACAGCACTTGGGGGTGTGGGGAAGGGATGGTCCGCAAAGCTCATGTTAGTGCCATTAGTTGTTTTCTTTTTAATTGTTGGGGTTGGGAGGGGATTAGCCAAATAGAGATATAGGAAGGCAGAGGGGACAAGTGAAAGGAAGAGAGGAAGCATTTGAGAGAGGCTGAAATGAAATGACTGAGGGAAAGGGTGGTTGGGGATTCAAGAAAAGAGCCAGTTAGCACAAGGGAAGACAATCCAGAGGAAAATTGTAAAAAGCAGATGGATGTGGATGATATAATCTGTGATCCAAGGTCCCAGCTGCTTATTTAGTAATAGCTATGGGGAAGTGCTTACAGGCCTCATGGAGGATACGGTCATGCTGGTAGTTCGTGAGTCTGCTTTACATGCTGGGATTGGACACACCCAAACTACCTCGTAAAAGGTCCTTGGTTACAGTTTACAAAGTAGTCAGAGCTAAGGACCCCAGCTAAAGCATCTTCCTTGGAAACAGACCAGGAAAATGAATGCTCTCCTAAGAGAGGGGATAGGATATCCAGGTAACAGCAAGTCCTGTCAACAAGGCACTAATGTGATATCAGAACATAGTTGCTAAATAACTGAAAAGTCCTTAATTGGATTAATGCCTGCACCATTCACTGAAACTCAATCCCCTTGGGAACAGTGCCAGATCTCTGCTCTGACAGTATCCCTGGCAGATGGGCTGAAAGGGCAACACTAACAGCTGCTCTGGAAGGAGCCAGCTGTACATGTTCCTAGCTGGAGGGGAAAACACCCATAGAAGTTAAAGAGCCAGTCCATTTCCTAGTGTATCAACCAGATTAGTTTTAAACATCCCAAGCAACAGGACTTCCACCACGCCCCTTGAGAGATTATTCACAATTTAATAAATCTCACTGTCAAGAAGTTTCTCCTGATATTCATCTTAAATATCCCCTTAATTTCATCCAGTTAATCCTAGTTATAGCATAATCACCACTTGTAGTATCCTAACTAATCCCTCTCCCACTTGATAATTACACCCTTCACAGGATGGGGAAAAAGTGTTAAATCACTCAAAATCATTTCTAAGCCTGACTCTTCCAGCATAATTGTAGAAATAAAGACAGCTGGTTGTGTGGTTATTACTAAGAGTTAGGATGAAAAGGAACTTGGATAAATCATTACATTTCAGCCAGGCTAATTGTTAAAAGCAGCACAATAGCTCAATAAAATTATACACACTGCATCTAAGCTCAGTACTTCTGGAATAGACACAAATAATGGAAGAAACACCATACGTACTTTAGTCTTCTGTCATGGAAGGCAGGTGTTGCAGGCACTATGGTTTTAATGAAAAATGGCTGGTTTCCTTTGCCTTCTTCAAAGCCTCCAACAATGCTGAATCCCCAGCTTTCTGAGTTACTTTTACGAAGGACAATATCTTGACAGCAGTGAAGGTAGCTGGAAAGACAGGCACAATCACAGAAGAGGCGCACACACAACTTGTTCTGAAGCACCTATTTTCCAGCTAGAATTAACTGCTTGACTAAAAATCTTCATTTTTCTTGGTGATGCAGGAACCCACTGCAATAACCCTTGTTAGATTACCTGCATCCATCAGGGGACAAAGCTTTATCCCACCACAAGTATTGTGATGAGAGTAGGAAGCCAGGTAGGGAAGACGGGTCAGGGTTGTTCATGAGTTATCTTACAGCATCATTTTGTAAAAAAAAAAAAAAAATGAAGTAATTGAAAGCTGTACTGCTGCAGCCCTTATAATTAATCTGGAGTCAATTTTCTGGTTTCACATGTATTGTGGGGACTTGGTACAATGGCTGTAGTTAGCAGCCAGATATCACAGTTGGAAAGCAAACATTACGTCGTTAGGTAAGGCAACCTTTCTTCTACTAAATGATTCAAACAATCAAGTCAGTCAAGGTTTGTTTGTGAAGGGTTTTTCATGCAGGACTTATCATAAGAAGTACTGTACAATAAGATATTACAGTCCTATGAGAGATTGTTCATAAAGAACATAATCCAAACATTTTGAGATATACCTGCTTCTTGATTTCTAAAATGTCTGATGTATTATATCACAAGACCAAGCCTGCTCGACAGACTTCTTCAAAAGATGACAAATACTAACAGTATTTTCTCCTGGAATTCACTGCTCAACAGAAAGGAGAGCCCAGTGACCTATACTAGATATCCAAAAGGAGTGGCTGAAGGGCGCCAGTGCTGTGTGAACAAACAGAGCAGCCATAAATCGGCACTCAGCAATAATCAGAATGCATGTAATTAACTGTGGCACTCACTACCACAAATTAACTGAGGCAAAGAATGAAGAAGGATTAGACATTTATATAGACAATAAAAATACCCAGTTATGTTAGAGAGAAAAACAATGAACATGGGATATCAAGCCGCCTGTTTCAGAACATAAGCCAGCCACTAACTGCCTCGTAGGGTAAAACCAGTCCAATGTTACTATGTAGGTGTCTTATATCCCCATCTGCAGCATCTGGTACTGGCTACTGTCAGACATAAAATGCTAGGCGACAGACCAGATGGCCATCCATCTGGTCATGTATGGTAATTCCTGTGTGTTTAATAGCTCATACACAGCTTTGAACAGCATATAGAATCTGTTATTGTGAGGAGAAGACTGGCCAGGACACCTGGGTTTTTTCCTACTCTAACTTCCACTCAGGCAGCTCATCAGAGACAGGATGGAGCCCTCTCATGTGAAAGGCTGTCCTGGCAATGCAGTGCAGCAATGTCAGGACAGCGTGTAAACACAAAGGCAGCATACTACTAAATGAGCCAGGCCGACAAACTACATTCGACACAAACAATAAGCCACAAGTGCAAGTGTAACAATAAAGAGTGGAACTTTTAAGCATTGTGGACAGAGGTGTTGAAAAGGATTGAATATGCCAGCAAGGCTTCGAACATAACCTCTTCCGACTCTGCTCTTCCAGCACCAAACGGCTATCTCAGACTAACAACTAACATGTGGCTTTCCTCAACAAAACAGAACGCAAGAGAATAAGCACCACAGGAGCGATCTTCTGGATTAAGCATTTACCTGAAAAAATACTGAGCATGTGCTAGCAGTAAACTTCAGATTTTCATATTGGATTTCAAAACACAGCTCAGGGAATGTTTCGAGAAAGCTATACTCAGTGGTGGCTCAAAAATTTCCCAGCAGAGGTTAAAAACAAAAAACACAAAACCCCTCAATTGTGTAGTGCATAGAAGTCAGCATGCCAAAAAGTCTGAACACCTACGTTTAGCTGAAGAGGACAATGAGGAGCTCAGCACTGATCTGCAAGAGGTTTGTTTTTCCTCAGTGGTTTAGTGAAATTATAGCACACAGAGCCAACTAGTCATTATTGGCCACCACTTTGGGCAACTGGGGAAATTAGTGAAGAACTGCAAGGAAGGAATTATTACCATTTATATTGTTTGGAACAAATGATGTAAACATTGGCAGACCGCAAAATGAAATAGCTCTGCTGTGTGCTTCTCAGACCATATCCTAAAACCTCCCCACATGAAAGCATGTCAACAGCCTGTGGTGCTAATATTCTATAGTTGGGAGATGCCAGAATTCAGTTCAGAGCAATAGAAGGAGATTACTTTCCAGCCACTGCTTCAGTGCTCCGAGGGTGCTTCTGACATGATGGCTCTCCACCTCAGTGGGAAAAGCTGAAATTGCTGCATAGGGTCCCGTGAGGTAGGTATACAGCCAACACTACTTTTTAAAATGAGAGCACATTTTTATGATCTTAAAGTTGGCGAATTTAATTATGAATTTAGCTCAGGTCCTCAGCCAGTTACAGTGAGTTAGGGTAGGTGAAACCAAACATTAAATATATTTGAGGCAAGGTACTTGGTGGATGCTAGCTCCGGGGCCTATACTTAAAACAAAAGCAGATGACTGGAGCGCTAAGAGGCTGACCTAATAGAAATGGAATTTTGGAAAGCATTCGAGTCTCTGGAGCTTTTGATAGAATACTCTTCACCTTCCCTGGCACAAGTGATGAGATGTAAAAGGAGCTGTTGCCTTGCAGTCACAATACACCTGGCCCAAGAGTGACCCCTCTGAGGAAACCTCATTGCACTAGATAATGGCATAGAGATTTGGGGGTTAAATCCTAGCGTCCTACATGAACATGAGTTAATCAGGTGCAGCTGAGACTAGTTAGTCTCAGAACTTAAAAAAAAAAAAAAAAAAGCTGGGTTCCTTTCACGAAAAAACAGGCCAAGACTCTCTTGACAAGAAGCCCAGACATAATGCTCTGGAGGAATAAGATCTGCCCTCTGTTTTTTGTTCTGGGAGTTTACAAACTGATAAATTGCATGAAGGGAAGGTAGCCACAGGCTTTCCGTTCCTTTGGTTGCACCAGAAAACAAACCTGTAAATAAATCAGAACCCTTAGAAGAGAGGGTTTTGTTTAACCTGAACCTTATGTAAGCTCCCTGTCCAGCCACAAACCTTAACTCTGACATAACCTGCACCTCCTCTCTGGGTTGAGCTCACTCCAAATTGACCTTTAGCAGAGACCAGTAAAGAGGAACACATGCTGCATCTCTCCAGAAATTAGTAGCTGAAGAGTTCAAACCTTAAAATGCTTGCCACATGGAACGCAGCAGCACAATTCCCACTACCTTTAGCACCAGCAACATGGTAAGCTACCTTCTAATGCATTTTAGCAAGGAAATTCAGAATTTGGCATTATTTTCCTAGGATTAAAAATTTCACAGTTGAGATGAAGTTAATAAAAGACTGCTTGCCTTAAAACAAAACTATTAGACTAGCTACTAAAAGGCAGTAGCAGTGCCTGATCATTGACTTCTGTTAAGTAGAATAGCCAAAGTGGCTTGGGTTCATCACGTTTTACCGAGGATTGTTTGCAGTGCGCGTGTCACAATTCAAACACAGGCTGTGTAACAAAACACCCTCTCTCTGACCCCCACCCCTGCTCCCAAACATACACTTTTGCTTTTGTTCTCAATTTCTGTGACCTATTCAGTTTGAGAAAATGTTCAGTGAACTCTGTCAGATACCTAGGGACTGACCATATTGCAAACAGGAGGGGCTCAGAAATACTGAAGTGCAGTGGGAGTTTCTTAATTTATTTGAACACATTGACAACTGATAGTCTCTTTTGCTTTTGTTTAAAGGGCTTGTCACCAAGTTTGACTTGGTTCAGAGAGTCAGCCAGTGATTCACTTTGCTTAAATGCCAGATGAGGTAAAATACCTGACTCAATGGTTAATACTGAGGAGAGAAAGAATTGACCAAACAAACTTACGTAGGTAATCCGAGCCATGTGATCCAAAGGGGTGACCAACTGAACCCATGTTCCCTGATATCAGAGGATGGGTCTGTGGGTTCTGGCACCCTCTCTGGTACAAGGATTTCCAGGGCTTTCAGCACTACGGTGTGGGAAGCTGCATTGGATTTCAGTGCAGAGACAGCTTCATAGTAGTTTAGATGAGTCAAATCGATGCCATTTATATTCAAAAGCACATCTCCTGTGGATTAAATAAGTAGGATTATCATGGCCGCATGGATTTACTGACCTTTTGCAATATAGACCACCTCTGCCTCAAGGTGTCATCCAGGACTTAGTGCTTCAAACTTTACTGGTGTTTAATACCAATTTTCACTTAAAAACACTAAAACCCATTCACTGAGTTAATTAGCGAAGTTATAAACAAGGAAACTCAGGGTCTGGAAAGTCTCCTTACCTCTCTTGATCCTGCCATCCCTGAAGAGGCATCCAATGGGTTGCACACTAGTTACATAAATAGGAAGTTTGTTTTTATTGTCCCTTCCACCTCCAATAGTTATTCCCAAAGATTCCTTTAGCTCCTTTTTTATTGTAACGGTCTTTTCCTGGCTGAGGTATCCCTGAGGTAGATCCTACAAAGAGATGACTATATGGGTTAATCAATGCAGCAGAATTTAGAAAGGTCCATGACTAGGGTAGGAGGCAGAGAACTCTAAAAATTCAGGGCTGGTGAAAGATGCCACATTAATAGCTCTGGAGACTGAAGTTGTTTGTTTAGGCACAAATAGCAAAGGCAGCAGAAGCTATAGCACACTGTACTCCCAAGGCAATTCAACCCTGACTCAGAAGGGTTGCTGCTAGGGAAGTGAGGATATATGCCTGTCTACATGTCCATTCGATCCTTTGTCTACATAGAGGCTCTTTGTGATGAGAGTTTCCCCACCAGGAAGTGGAAAGAAACTACCAACTCATTTCACATAGGTCATCAAACATGTCTGGTATTACCAACTTTTTATCTTTTGAACTTTGTTTAAATTGGGATGGATTTGAACCAGTGACACAGAGTAAAGAGGCATTTCTAAATCCATCTACAAAGGCTGAGCTATCCAACCTCATGCATGTTTTAGAATAGAGCTTGTTATTAAAATATATAATGTTTCCATTGGAATGATCACAGTCCCCATTTCTGTTTCAACAAGCCCAGTATACAGCAGAACCGCAGAGTTACGAACACCAGAGTTACGAACTGACCGGTCAACCACACACCTCATTTGGAACCGGAAGTACACAATCAGGCAGGAGCAGAGAGAGACGGAAAAAAACCAAATATAGTAGAGTACCGTGTTAAGCGTAAACTACTAAAAAAATAAAGGGAAAGTATAAAAAAGATTTGACGAGGTAAGGAAACTGTCTCTGTGCTTGTTTCGTTAAATTAAGATGGTTAAAAGCAGCATTTTTCTTCTTCATAGTAAAGTTTCAAAAGCTGTATTAAGTCAATGTTCAGCTGTAAACTTTTGAAACAACCACCATAATGTTTGGTTCAGAGTTACGAACAATCTCCATTCCCAAGGTGCTCATAACTCTGAGGTTCTACTGTGCCATAAGGCCAAGAAAAGTAAGAAGGCAACCAGCAGATATTTTTCCAAACACAAGGTAGAGAGTATGAAGAGGAGGAGAAATTTATTTCTGAAGATGTCGTTGCATGGGATGAAAGGACAGTTTATAGTGACTCAAATAGCTTATCTACTTTAAATGAGAATCTAATGGTGAAATTTCTCAAAACAGCTCAGCATTAACCTAGCTCTGCTCTCCTTGAAGTCAGCTGCAAAAAACTCTTACTGACTTTGATGGGAGCAGAATTAGGTCGATGTTATTGCTTATGAAAATCCCACCCCTAAGCTTAGTGAAATATTAGCACATCATGTCCTATAGATCTTAAGAGGAAGAAAGGGTTAGAGAGAGAGTGTGTGCACGTGTGTTGTGGAAACAGAAGACGACAGTGGACTGAAGTTTATAAAGGAAAGAACTGGGCTGAAACTGCATACGATAGTAACCTGGGAAACTAAACACAAGTCTAGGCAGTTCATATTTCAGGCAGAATTTCTTCACACAAATTTTAGTTTAAATATGGTACAACCTGCCAGAGGCAGCAACATAAAAGCAAATCTGTTCAAGTTCACAGTTTTCTAGAGGAGGGAATCTGAGTGTAAAAGTAACTAGTTAAGTTGGAGAAGTTGCAAAAGCATCTTTCTTTAGCTTCATTAGTACAGCTTTCACCTCTAGGCCACAAGGCCATTTAGTCCCATACTGTGACATGGAGTCACACGCAGTGTTAGCATTGCAATTTAATATTAGGGGGGAAAGCTGTGCTTGATGTGCTTGTTGTCCTACAGATAGGGAATTAAACCCAATGGTTGTTTTACTGGTTTCTGGTGGCTGTCAAATACCCAGTGACCCTTTCTCAAGGAGCAGAGATTAACTCTGCTGTTTTGGCCAGCATTCCTCCTCCCCTTTAGACAGGCTTTAACCTCAAAGGCTGCACAAATGCTGCTGCATTGCTCTGTAGATAACAGACGCTTGGTCTGACTGTACAGTTCACTGTTCTGCCAGCTCTCAACTCCTATTGCTTTGCAACATCTGGTAAAGAAAAGGTGCTATATGGGACCAAACCCTACTCTTGATAACCCTGCAGTATTCTTGGTTTATATTTTCATAGCACTCGGTGGTAAAGTAAAGTAATAGATTTGAGAAACAAAGAACAACTGGCCCAGCAGAAAATAGCACTGCTATTACTACAAAACTTACCTTTTGGTAGTTTGATTTTCGTCTGTAATGATTCTGGTCAGGTCTCCTCCGATGGTGCACTGGACTCCCTCCATTGCTGCTGCTGCTACTACTGTTTGGTGTGCCACCATCTTCAACAGCATCTGGCAGCTCTACACCAGACTGCCTTAGGACCACAAAGTTCACTCTTGCCTCACTGGTCTGCCAGGAAAAACAAAAGGAGAAGCTTAATAATATTTCAGTAATTTCAATGGGTAAAGTTTCACCATGGCTCATCTAGAGACTTAACCTTGTGACTTCTGATGATCTCTCTGAAAGTTGCATGGCTCAGACTTTGTGTAGCATTCTGAAAAATGTAACAGGCATGCACACACCTCTAGAGACCAGACAAATCTACGAAAGGAGCGTCACATATAAGATACAGGAGGTAATTTTTCTATTCTACTCAGTACTGGTGAGGCCTCAGCTGAAGTGCTATGTCCCGTTTTGGACACCATACTTGAAGAAAGAGGTGAAGAAATTGGAGAGAGTCCAGAGGAGAGCAACAAAGTGATAAGAGGTTTACAAAACATGGTCTAGAGCAGTGGTTCTCAACCAGGGGTACGTGTAACCTGGGAATACTCAGATGTCTTCTAGAAAGTATATCAACTCATCTAGATATCTGCCTTGTTTTACAACAGGCTACATAAAAAGCAGTAGCGAAGGCAATACAAACTAAAATTACATATACAGAGCAGTATAAACAAATCATTGTCTATACTGCTCTGTATACAATACACTGAAATGTAAGTACAATATTTATATTCCTATCAATTTGTTTTATAATATATGGTAAAAATGAGAAAGTAAGCAATTTTTCAGTAGTGTGCTGTGACACTTATGTCTGATTTTGTAAGTTTTTAAGTGAAGTGAAACTTGGGGGTACACAAGACAAATCAGATTCTTGAAAGGGGTACAGTAGTCTGGAACGGTTGAGAGTCACTGGTCTAGAGAAGAGAAGATTGGGCGAGGGAGGGGAGGGGGGAAAGGGATATATGTTTCCAAGTATGTAAAAGGTTGTTATAAAGAGGACTGTGATCAATTGTTCTCCATGTCTACCAAGAGTAGGACAAGAATTAATCATCTTAGTTTACAGCAAGGGAGATTTAGGTTAGATATTATGGTTAGAAAGATATTCCTAAAGATAGTTACGCTCTGGAACATGTCACCTAGGGAGGCTGAGTGCCAACATATTAGATTCAATTCTATACATGCCAGCCTCGTGGTCCAGTGCTTTGACATTTACTAACTTGAACAGTATGTTTTTGGGCTTTGCAATCAGTCCTCAATTCTAGAAAGTTGTTTATCGGGAACATTTGTTGACTTACTTCTAATATTAAACATCACTGCTTAGGTTCAAATATTTCTTTCTATGTAAGAACACAGGCTCTCCATAATTATCAAAACTCTTCCCTTTTTCTCCCACCACTGACTCACCAAATTGCCAGGAAGAGAACGAATTCTCCCTTATCTTTGGATCTTTTCTAAGGTTTAAACTGTAAGTTCTGGTGAAATGCCCTTGTGTTTGTCATGATCTTCGGGCAAAAAAAGAAACCCAGCTATTAGAAGCTGGAGGGCACTGCCCCAGGAGACAGAGCATTTGAAACTGATCTAAACAAAGGCCACTGCTTTTGGAGTAATCCTTACACAAATACTTTACACCAAATGTTCAGACCATTAAAATGAGACAGATTTCTATCATGATGAGAACGACCATCTCCCAGCAAGGGGCCTCAGATTGACTCATGGACCCCTCTTCCACATGCAGTTTAACTGGGAATTTTACCACCAGCATCCTGACCTAAATCAAAAATGCTTCTGTTCTGTACTGCCAGGCCATGCGGTCTCTATTCAGACCTCCCTAGGTTAGCTCTAGGGAAGCTTCACGTACTCTGTTCCGGTATCTGTCACAGATGTATGCCTTGTGTGTAGAGATTTCTCTTGTAAAAAGGCTACACCTAAAGATCAGTTTGCCTTTGCTGCACTAAACCACCGTAGACATCTGACTCACTGTGGTATTGTCAGAGATGATTCATGGCAGATTCCCACCTGTGTATTCATGATCGCTAGGAAACAGTAATCCCCACTTCTGTAGGGAAGCCACTCTCCCAAAAATGGTTACTTAAGGGTATCCAAATTGCTCAGGCATGTTTTGTTAGCCCTTGGGTCAGAAATGGAGCACTGCGCTAGTGGTGCAGACAGTCACAGAGTTATCAGACAGACAGCTGCTCCATTCAATAAATTACCTGTATTATCTGTGCAGCAGTCTCAGGTGTTCCCTGCCTCAGGTCCTGGCCATTTATAGAGAGAACTTTGTCATTCCGACTCAGCTTTCCATTTTTGGCTGCCAAGCCTCCATCAAGCAGGTCCAGAATAAAAATCCCTGCCTCGTCTGTCTTCCTAATCAGTTTGATTCCCAGGGGTTCAGATGGGTCTCTCTTCATCAGTGTAACGTGAATCACTTCCCGGTTAACAGCAGGGCTAGAATCCTGTTTGAGAGTCCTGTTGGAAAACCCTTTTTCCTGCAGGACCATAAGGTGAAGAACGGGACCTGGGTGGCGCAGCAAGGAGATAGCTTGGCAATGAGTCACGCTACTGATGTTGACACCATTCACCTAGAAAGAGGAAGGAAAATGCACCATTTAGATCCTGGAGAGCTTATGGGTCTTCCACTGTACCTAGTATCACAAGGTTAGCAAAAAGCACACTTGGATCCTCCATACATGAGGCGCTTTCCCTGAGACCTTTCCACAGCTCTGAAGCCTTGAAACTCTCCCGTAGACTTACCTTATGCTTCTCATTCCAGTGGAGTACCGGAGTCACAGAAGAGCGATCAGCGATCGATTTAGCAGGTCTTCACTAGATCCGCTAAATCGACCACTGGTGGATTGATCACCACACATTGATCCCCTGGTAAGTGGAGACAAGCCCTAGGATCTTCAGTCTAAATCTTTCTTTTTTCAAGGTAGTTTTGGTAACTATTATTCCTCCCCCAGGGGGCAGTCATGTAGGATTCCATCCTGTCTCATTTTGGTGTGCATATGGGACTATTGGGAAGGTTAGCGAGGAGACATGGGCAACAGCATCTTCAGTATTCTAATGACACCCAGCCAGCGTTGCTGAATGTCTTACTTTCTGGCTGAGACTGGGAGGTGGATGAGGCTCAGTCAGATAAGATGGATGTGATATTGATTGGCTTGGAGAAGCCACCTGAAGATATGACCAAGACTGTATCTGCCACTCTGAATGCAAGGGTCTGCCAATCCTTATTAGAATGTATAATCGAAGGAAAGGGTTGGATTTCCAGTTGTTGGATTTGTCTGGCCAGGAGGATGTAATACAACGGTAGTGAGGTCCAGATCTTAAAGAAAGCATGTGCCTTTGTCACCTCGAGATTAGACTACTAACAATGCACTCTCTGTGAAGCATTAATTCAATTTGGAAACCAAAGCTAGCAGTACAGAATGTGGCAGCTCAGTTGCTTGGCAGGGTATATTGCTAGGAGCATATGGCACTAGTGTTCTGTGCTCTGCACTAGCTGCCAGTTGGTTTTCAGGGTGAATTAAAATGCTGGTTTTGAAATGGAAAGCTTTAAATGATTTAGGACCTGCTGGTTTGAAAAAGAGCCTCTCTGTGCAATAGTGCTGTTAGAGAGATTAAGTGAGGGTGAGGTAATATCTTTTATGGGACCATGGCTACAACTATACTCTATACAAATCTCATAAAAAGCTGTCAGATACATAAAGTAAATAAAATAGACTGAAAAGTTCAAAGAAAAAAATAATCTAAGGAGATCTGTAACAATAGGTGATAAAACATTTTCAGACAGAAGAGGTGTTTGTCCAATTGAGATGAAATTAAAAAAAAAAAATCCTCTTAATTACACCTGCTTCCACCACTCAAAACAATTCTATTTTCTCTCCCGCACTTGTACCCTTCAAGTGCTGGATCAGGTAAAAATAAGAACCAATCCAAACCTTCGGAGGTTTCAAAGTGTTCTGATACCTTTTTAATAGTTTACTTCTTATTTCCATGGGGCTCTCTTACCTCTCTCCAGCTGGGCTCAGAACTAACCAAACACTATAAAAGAGGCGGCTGTCAAGGCATTTCTGGCCTGATAAAGCAGGAAGGGTCAGAAATTACATGAGACAGCCTGTTCTTTTAAGGCTCACAGCCCAGTTTCATAGAACCAAGATATTTGGACAAGTGTTCAAACTTTGGCATGCTTATCCAAACCTCTTGAGGTTTGCCCAGCATGACAAACTTTTTGCTATCCACTATAATAAAAAGCCTTCTCTTAGACAAAGAAGGGTGGTAATGTAACTTTACTACTAACAGAACAAACGTACCTCAAGGATATGGTCTCCAGGTGCTATTTTTCCATCTGCAGCAACAACAGAATCCCGAAGGACTTCCTGAACAACAATGTTCCCTAAAGGGGTGTCTTTGCCCCCAACTATCCGCATTCCTAGTTCTTCTTCTGGATCATCTCGATGAATTTCAATCGTACTTGTTTCAGCCACAAGACTAGCTTTCTGAGGCAGGTCTGATTGTGAGAATCAAAGAAGAGAAAGCAACACATGAATACAGATAATATCCCCATGTCCTTTCTCTATTCTAGTTTCACTCAGAGATCAGGTATATAGTACTGGTAGGGCTTGTATTGTTTGGCCCTTATGTGCTCAAAAATGGTATTGTGTGTGTGTGTGGGGGGGTATTTAGGAGGGAAGAGAATAGATCACGAACAAAAAGCAGAAAAGTTAAATTTCCTAGACTTTCTCCCCATATGTTCCCAACGAGTGCTCACTCAGTGCAAAGCCGATTGTCAGATGGTGTAGCAAGAATGGAAACAAAGCATTTTTGAGGCCTTTTGTAAATAGATGCTTAATTTGCCATTTAGAAATTTTTCTTCTTCTAGATCTACTGCCAGGTTATTTAAAGTCAAACTACTTAGAACTTGGGGCTTCTTGGTTCCCAGTCTGATGCTCAGGCCATTAGAGAAAAGGACTTAATTTAGTGCTCTGATCAAAGAACTGAAAGCCTAGAACTCTTGCGTTCTAATCAGGGGTCTGACATTGCTTTGATGTATGATCTTGGGCGAGTCATTTAAGCTCTCTGCTTCAATTTCCCTTCCCCCTTTGTAAAATGGGAGTAACATTTACCTATTTCAGAGGGCTGAGGAGAATTAATTAATACTTCCAAACCATTCTGAAGAGGACAATTGTTACCTCTCCCTGCACTTTTGGCAAAGTATGTTAAATCTATCATCATTGCAGCATTTGTGCAAGCCAGGCACGTTAGATGTTGTAATGAAGGCAATCACAATGTCAGCCAAGTACAGCTGTAGTTCTCTATCACACAGTGGCTTTAACAGAGAGATTGACATGTACTTGGGGAAACTCCAACATAGAACCAAGCTAATTTACACAGTAACTATTAGACAGGTTCATTAGCAGATAGACTTGTCCCCCCCAGCACCATCTAAGTGCGCACAGGAATTAAGAAAATCATTTTGAAACATGCTATCAAGAGTTTTACGCTACTTATTGTCATTCTAAAGATTTAATGAAGTGGTGGTATCTTTGAATGGAGATATAGCTATTTTCATTTGTAATGTGATGGGATTTGTTTTCTTACTGATGATTAATTTCAAATCCAAGCACTAGCAAAGGGCATAAAAATGCTTCTGTTTAGTATCAGTAGGGAGGAACTAAAATAAACAACCTGAACAAATAATTGCCTCAAAGGAGTAAATATAAAATAAAAAGACAGACTGGCACAAATTCCTGGTACTGATTGCTTGGCATCTTCACGCTATGTTTGGTGCCCTGTTCTCATGTGGCTGGTGTATTGTTTGTTACTGAAAAGCTTCTGATTTTTTTTTTTTTCTAAATGGTGCTTGGTGTATTGCTCTTGTTAACCTAGGGTTTGTGAAAGAATCTTGCAATACTCTGTGCACATGGCCATCCTGAGAGGGGATAAGGGAGCTGCTACTCTTAGTACGATTGCCAATTTTGGTTGGATGTATTCCTGGAGGTTTCATCACATGACATAATTCTGGAGACTCCAGGAAAATCCTGGATGCTTAGCTCTTAGTTAAAGAACTTTTTTTTGTGTCAGTGGCAGAGGTTTGTGTTTTTTGGAACTGAAAGGCCAAGAGTAAAAAGTAAAAGGAGAAGCTTGAAACTATTGAAGGTTTCCAAGTGTTTGTTCATACAGATATGGGCAGAATCTGTGACAAGCTCTTTTAAAGAGTATCCTTAACGTTATTTAATTTTTTTTTTTTTTTTAAAAGGAGATTTGAAACTGAATTGCATTTTGTGCTATTCAAAGTGGTGAGAGACACTGTTGGTAACTGCAGAGAGAGACATTACCGCCTTCTTCACCCTCCTCAAAGGCTGGATTAACAAGTCCAGGCTCCACAGTCCCCAGAGATACCACAGCCGCTATAGAGCTTTCTGCCACCAGCGATGATGCTCCGTCTGATAGCTCCGCCTCTCTCGCAGCATTCGATTCCTCCCTGGTAATGGGATCTTCCTTGCCTCTGGAATGTGGATTTTTTCTCCTTTCTATATCGGATTTGTATTTCTTGAAGCCAGGACACCTAGAGAAGGTTTGGAAGTCAGTCATCCACACAAGCAGCAACAATCTCATCTCACATAGTAAACTCAGCACATACAAGCACTGGGTAACTAAGGTGCTTCAGGAAGCATGATTAAGTCTTGTCAGTCACACATTTTCTTTCCAGCAGCTGGTGCTAGCAAAGATTCATTCACATCTCAGCCTCAAATTGAGGCTGGAAGAAGGGGGAGAGAAACTCCTTTGTCAACTTTTTTTTTTTTTTTTTTTAATTTAAGAGACCGATTAGTTTAATTAATCTGAGAAAGGGACAGTAGGAAGGAGTACTCCTTGTTAAAATATTTACCATTCAAGCCCTGCTGCTCCCAATGAAGGTGAGAATACATTTTGTGAGGCATAAGTAAATACTTATTCCCTCTGCTCTTTCAGAGCCAAGGTAAGAGTGTGAACCACACATTTGAATCACAGAAGTTTTATAGCCTTGAATATGCCATGTTTCTACCAAACCAGCAACATACAAGACTGAGTGGGGCAGCATGAGGCAGTTTGCACTGCTGCTGCTGTACCCATGTTATAATAAATAGAAGTATTCTCTCACCAGGCCTATCCATCCAGTTCTTCTCATAAGCACCAAACTCAACATTTTAAAAAGAACCCCCAAACCCTGTAAGCAACAAAGCAATCAATGTTACAGAAGAAGCAGGGGAAGGAAAACAAACTCAGGCTATTACCACCTTTGGTAAGAGGATGGATGGCAAGTTAGGTTGGTGATGCAGAAGTGGTATTGGAGGCTCCGTGGCAGATACTATTCCCTGAGTCAGTACTGAACCAGTGCTCCAGAACAATGATACAGGATACTAAGTTATGGGTGGTTACCACTGTGTCCAAATCAAATTCTATTTGGAGTATTTACATTCTGGCTACTAAAGTCCCTCTGCAATTTCACCTACTCTTATTTCTTCCTGGTCACTCTACTCCCAAGTGTAGAGTGGCCAAAGATACCTCTCAAAGGCACAGGGCAATCAAACCCAATGTCCAAAATACATCTGCTTGTTAACAAACTGGAGGCCCAGGAATGGCCCTCAGAGCCATTTCAATTATTAATATTGGCATCTCCCTACTACACTCTTGAGATCTCTGTAAAATTAACACCTCTGAAGTCAGACTGCAAAGTGCAGGGAAAAATGCCACAAGACTAGTCTCTTAAAATTTGCTGCTCGTTCTTTTTTAAATGCACAGATGTGGCTTAGTCTCACTAAAAATCATCACAAACCCTGATGGAAAATACTTTCAAATGTGGTGGTTTTATGCCAGTTAGAATTTAGCTTGAATCACCTTTATGTTAACAGTCTGTATATTTAAAAAAAAAAAAACATACTAGATTATTGGAACTTGGTTTTGGTAATGATTAAGTCACAATGGACTAAACTGCAAGCCACCATATATGGTCTGAAAGGTTAACCTTCCCATATGTGACTGGATATTCACTGAAGCTGAATGACATTTCAGCTAGCAAAGATAAGATATAGGTGCTTTTAACTCACAGTTACAGGGATTTGGGAAGTGGGGGAAATAGATTATTCAGTGCTGACTGTGTGTGTAAGACTCAAGTAAAACAGTCTCCGCCCTTAAGAGCTTATACTGTAAGAAGCAGAAACAGAAGATGGAATGCACTGGTAAAACTAGAGAATGGAATAGGTTTGTTTTTTGAAGAGGGGCAATGTTTTAAAATAACTGAACTCTCAACTTTTATGTTGAAAGTATGGATAAAGATATCGAGAGCACCTTAGCCTCTAGATACCATAGGAACATGCAATAGAAACACAAATGCCTGGCTAAAATTGCAAAGATTTCCTTAGTTCAACCACCACCTGCACACTTGTTGACTTTGGTATTGCTATAGACAAGCATGATGTATTTGAATGGTATCAAATCTACTGTGTACTACCCATTACGTACTAACAAAACATGCTGCCACTGAAACTTTGCCTTTGTTTACAATATGGCTTGCTCCCAGCTCCATTCTGAGCAATCATTAACTAAGAACAAAGGTTCTTCAAACTCCATGGAAAGACTCCTTTGTTGTGTGCACTTTTCTAAAACCACAGTTCTTTGTCTGTTCCAGCTCAGCTAGCCGGCAGTGGAAATGCCAAAAACATCTGTGCTGAGAAGTGCAATGAAAAGTCAGTCTCTCTTTCTCTGCAGAACATATTTTTAGTTGCATCTATGCTTGTGAAAGAATGAGGGCAGATAATGGCATTACAAATATGTGATTCAGCAAGTGCATAATGCACTGAGTGACTTCCAGTATTTGGATCAAAGACTTGTGTGTTACACATCTTAATTGGACCAATTAAGCTGGCAGCATTGTATTGTACCCCTTGTCTCTCTTCTGTAAATACTCAGGAGCCATGCACTGTGTTTGAAGCGAGAGGTATGTATGTTTATAATTACTTCAAGGAAGCAGGTGCACAAGGACTATTCTGTGAAAAGGAGCACTGTATTCAGTAGGGTTACCATACGTCCAGATTTCCCAGGACATGTCCGGCTTTTTGGTACTCAAATCCCCGTCCGGGGGGAATTGCCAAAAAAACGAACATGTCCGGGGAAATAGGGAGGCAGCATAAGCCAGGGTCCGCCCGGCCCCAGTACGACCCGCAGGGTCTGCAGCGCAGCCCAGCCGCCTGGCTACATTGTAGCGAGCTCAGGCGGGGGGTGAGCGGGGGCACAGCCGCAGAAGGCGGCGAAGGGGCCGCTGTTGCCCCCGGAGGCCAGGCAGACCACGCGCCCCAGCCGAGCCCACAGGACCACAGGGAGGCCGGGCTCAGCCAGCAGCTCAGGCTTCCCTCGCGGGCGGGGACTCCCCGGCCACTGGGGGACCCTTCCTGTGGCCCTGTCACCCCGCGCGGCAGGAAGGAGGCTGCGGGGAGTGCGGCGTGTGCCGGGGCTGCAGGGACCCGCGCTGCCCCCGTCACCGTTGAGTGTCTGAAGCCCCCGCCAGGCAGAGGCTGCCAGGTGAGCAGGGCAGGCGGGGGGGTGCAGAGGCTGCAGGGCGAGGAGGAGCAGGGCAGGCAGAGGCATAGAGGCTGCAGGGGCAGGGGGCGCAGAGGCTGCAGGGGCGGGGGGGGCAGGGGCTGCAGGGCGAGTGGGGAGCAGGGGGCACAGAGGCTGCAGGGGTGCAGGGCAAGTGGGGAGCAGGGAAGCACTTAGCAACCCCCAACCAAGATCAGAGCGGCAGGGAGGAGGGGGAATGCGGGGTGCTCAGAGGAGGGGGCAGAGTTGGGGCAGGGACTTTGGGGAAGGGGTTGGAATGGGGGCGGGGAAGGGGTGGGGTTGGGGCAGGGCAAGGGGTGGGGCCGGGGAAGGGGTGGAGTTGGGGCGGGGCCAGGGGTGGCCCCGTGTAGTGTCCTCTTTTTTAAATGTTTGAATATGGTAACCCTAGTATTCAGGCACAATTCAGGGGCTTGCTACATTCAGTTGGGCATTGCTTCTGCTTATCTGTCTGGGCAGACAAGTAGTTTAACCTGTATCCTCAACACAGATGCACTAACCAACCAAACACATAAGCATATTGTCTTCATCCTCCCACTTTACTGGCCCGTCCCTTTGTCATCTCTGCCTGATGTTCTCATCTTAACTTAGTTTGTTCTGGGTAAGGAAACCATTGTTCTGTTCACTAAGGCACCACAGATAGTGCTATGTTACTAACTTTTAGTTATGTTATGTAAACATATATGCACCTGTTCTGTAAGTGGGCTTCTAGTTCACACCTCTGCATCATCTGCTGACACTCTTTCTGGAAGGGACAGAGGATAGTCAATTTATCCAGCAGGTTTCTCACTAGAAGGCTAGACTTCCGGCAGTGTTGGAAACTCAGTTTTTTCCGATCCATGGGACAAAAGTTATACTCCTGCATGAAGTTCTCAAGGCACTTGAAACAGTATGTGTGTCCACAGGGTGTATCCATGGGCTGGAGCAAAGGCTGAAGGCAGATATGGCAAACCAGTTCATCATCCACTTCATCTTGGAAGTTATAAAGATGATTGTCCTGTAACAGGTGGAACTGGCCACATTTATGGCAAAGTTCACTGATTTTGGAGACCTGCTCTTCCACTGCAGGGTCAGCCATGATATCCAACATCAGAAGAAAGTTTGTCAGTTTGAAGACCAGGAGTTAGTGGTCTGACAGGACTTCTCTAATGAAGAGAGGAGAGAGAGAATTAATCACTCAAAATTGTCTAAAATGCAAGTTAAGATGCCACTGTCAACTTGAAATCTAGTCAGTTAAAAATAAGTTAAATCTTGTTTCAAGAAGCACACCTGTCCCAAGTCCCCCTGCCAATTTTTGTGATTTTGCATTTTTCTATTCCCCCCCTCCTCCCCAATTTTTCCTTTCCAATGTAACTATGAGAGAGACCCACCCAGGCAGCAGGGGAAAGTAAGGCCCTGATTCAACAAAGCATTTGTGCATCTGTTTAAGCATTTTGGTGATTTGAATCCCGAAAGATTATGCATGGGAAATAGTGACACTGACTAGACACAATTCTGTCAAATACACAAAGTGAAATGAACTGAAATTCTTATTCCTTCTAATTACAATAATAAGTGCAAGAACAGTGATTAAGTGACAGTGTCCTTGTCTGCCTTTCTGGTTGGTATTGAATGTATTTGTCTTAAAGAGATGGGGGTTAGTGGGTTTTTTGGGGGGGGAAGGGAAAGGAAGAGAAGGTTGAAAGGAAATTTTAAATCTAGGAGGCATTTCCTTCCTCCCAGTCCTCTCCTTCCCAAAAAGGAAACCCTGTTAGTTTTAACCATGAGTGTATGGTTCACTACTCACACAGGCACACATTCTGTGTGTGTTCATACAAGGATTCTAGGGAACTAAAAAAAACAACTGCTTTATAATGAAGGATAGAAATACCCACCCAGGCCACTACATAATTCACTATAGTGTATCCAAAATGATTGAACTTCATTGGCTTTGTAAATAAATCTCAAAGTTGTGGAGGATGAAGATAATGGGACACATTCAGCTCTCTGCAGCTGCAACTACATTGATGGAGTTACATTATGAACAAAATAGGAGGCATATTTCAGATAATGGGAGAATGTTAACAATACCCAAGCCTATGTAGTACAGATGAAGAATCCCATGCTCCAGCATTGTAGAAGCCCCCGTGTTGTGCCAGCTGCAGCAGGCAGGTACATATAGTACATCTAAAGCACACAAGCACAGCCTCTCTTGCCATATATTTCATACAAAAGGACACTTTTTGATCCTCACTTATCTTGAAAGCTAAGAGGTAATATTACAACTTCAGACAAGCCCCTGACACCACTGAATACTTGCATTCAGTCAGCCCAATACCATCAACTTAACACCCCCACCTGTCCACCCCACGCTTTCCAAAGCCAATAACTATCAGTAAGACACAGAGGCACAGCTGTGCTTTTGGGTTTATACTACATGTTCTAATAGTTGCATAAAACATTTTGGCAGGTGATTAAACAATACATAGTTTCTCAGTGAAAACCAAGAATTCACTCCTACTTTTGCTGATAAACCACTGTAGGCCTTTTCAAACATATCCTACAGGGTTTCATTCTCTGCTCTTTGTGCTACAACATGAGGAGGTAAATCCCATATGTCATTTCTAGACTAGTGGGAAAGAGACTTCCGTATCTGAATCCAGTAAATATATTTCTTATAAATTCTATTTCCCTATAATCCCACTGTTAACTCCAAATCTAATTTTTGAAGATTCCATATTTAAAAATAGGAAACTGGACACCCAATTTGTCTAACTCCTCCAAGTGCTCAGATAGGATTTACCTTACATCACTGTCCTTTCAACAAAGAGGAAGTTGCTTCAGACGTTTGGGAACCTAAACCCGTCACATCAGTGATGAAACCCAGCCCACACCCGTCGGCAAGCTAGTAGTTTGTGAACAGCACTAGTGAGGTGGCAAGCTTGAACATGCCGACTGGCTGTTCAGTGATTTCAAACAAAAAGCAGATGTTCTGTGTAAGTAAAATTAGTAAGAAGTTACTCAGCAAAGACAACTGCTTAAGAATCAGTTTTGTTACACTAAATGTTTGGAGGATGCAGTTCCAGCACTGAGGGTTTGGTTCTACTCTCACACTGGTCTGAGTGCATTAGCTTTTACAGAGTCACTCTAGTCTAGTCACTCTTATACCAAAAAAGTGAGAGTACAATCAGGCCCTGTAAACTCAGATTCAAGTTCTAAAGATGCAATTTAAAATACACCTGGAGTCGTCATGGGAAGCTTCTATCAAGTTTAAACTTCTCATCTTCATCTTCAAGGGCCAAAAATCAACTGTCTCCACTCCATCTCACAACACACTCTTGTTTCTTCTCTCCTGTTTCACTCCAATTATACCAATCAACGCCACTTAGCTTCCTTCCCCTGCTTCCACTTTTTTGACTTCTTCTGGGTTGTGGCTTAAGACAATGTGCCAAGCCCCCTATATTATTCAAATCTGTCCCCAAGACCCATTCTTCCCACAAATACCAACTACATCAGTCAAATGCCTTGTCTACCCTAACACTAAGAAAAATGTTGTCTTTTACTCTTTGCACTACACAAACACACAGTATGAAGAAGCCACAGGGCAAAGTTAGGTCCTAAATAACTGTGTTTACTAAATATGCACAACCCTATAAGGCCTAGCTGCATGCTATTATTGCTCCTGACTATTTTCTGGGTGCTTCTAAAACACAGAATATAGTGAATGCCACTGGAGAGTTCAGACTATTTAAAGAGATACTACCCTATTCCTATACACTACAAAAAAGGAAGAGGATAAAGCGGGAGGAATAAATCCTAGAAAGCAAAAACTTTCCTCTAGATTTCTCAGTATTTCATGTCTTGCATGTGCTAGAGTGCAAATTTCTTAGGAAGGAACTGTCGTGTTTTGGCTTTACCACACCAAATACATCATGGGTTCTTACACACATATAAAAGTACAGTAGAACCTCAGAGTTACGAACACCTTGGGAATGGAGGTTGTTCGTAACTCTGAAATGTTTGTAACTCTGAACAAAACATTATGGTTGTTCTTCCAAAAGTTTACAACTGAACATTGACTTAATACAGCTTTAAAACTTTACTGTGCAGAAGAAAAATGCTGCTTTCCCTTTTTTTTTTTTTAGTAGTTTACATTTAACAGTACTGTACTGTATTTTTGTGGGGTTTTTTGTCTCTGCTGCTGTCTGATTGTGTACTTCCAGTCTGAAATAAGGTGTGTGGTTGACTGGTCAGTTTGTAACTCTGGAGTTCATAGCTCTGAGGTTCTACTGTATATCCTATTTTCTTGTACTACAACACTGAATCACAGAATAATAGAAATTAGGTCTCTTCCTTTCTCTATTAGGTTGTCTACTCTGCCAATGCAAAACTATTCCCTGCAATATGTTAGTGGATTGACTATTCTTGTTTTAATTGTGCCAAGTGATGGAGCTTCCAGCACTCCTTGTATCAGATATAGATCCCCTCTCTGTGCTCATCTGCAGCATTAGTAATAGCACTAATAAATTATGTAGTGTGCCAAGAAACACACAAACACTGAACCTTTCAGTACTATTTCAGGCTATGGAATTCCAATTAAAATTAAAATCAGATAATTCTTAAAACTTGCAAATACTGATTCAATACTCTCATAATTGGGATATTTTAACAAGGAATGCTAGTCTTAAAAAAAAAAAAAAAAAAAAAAAAACCCTTCCCAAGGTTATACTTCTGACTGTACTAAGCTTCTTTATATTACTGTAGTACTTCTTTTAGAGAAAAATAATTGTGATTGTTCTTGAAGTATCCAGATATTAAAGCATCACTGTTTGCAATGCTATCATTTGAAGTTCTGACATTTCCACTTCCTGTTTTCAGCACTTAGCTCAATCATAAAAAATAAAACAGTTTGGAGCACAGATGTGCAAAATCCAATCCAGGTCTATCTATGGTACTTACATGTGCTCCCTTCCCTGCAATTCTCATATCTAAACACCTGACAATCTTTTATGTATTTATCCTCACAACACTCCAATGAGGTAGAGAAATAGTATTATTCCCACTTTACAGATGGGGAACTGAACCACAAGTGACTTGCCTAATGTCATACAGGAAGTCTGTGGCAGAGCAGACAATTGAACTCAGGTCTCTCAAGACCTAGGTCCAAGACTTTATGCAAAAAACAATTATGTATTGGTGGGAGGGTGAGGAACTGAGGTGTTGAGATAAGCTATTTTGGTTTTGGCTCATCTGTAATTCTGAACTAAAAGCTGACATAGTTATGTAGAAACAATAAACTTCTTTCTACGTTCTTGAGAAAAATGGTCAGCGAGACCTAGAAAACTTTACATATTACAAAATAAGGGAACATACAGTTACTATTTGTACTGTAGAAAATATTTTGGTAGTTTAAAAGTTTTATATTGTGCAATTAGACGAAAGCGTTTATGTAATGCCAACAGATGCTGGTTGTCAGGATCAAACTTAGAGCCTCTGGACCTTAGTGCATGAGCCTCTACCACGTGAGCTAAAAGCCAACTGGCTGTTAGCTAAGGCTGTAGAGCAGACTCATTTTATCTCTCTCTCTAAGGCAGTGGTTCCCAAACTGGGGTTCGTGAACCCCTGGGGGTTCGCGAAATGTTACAGGGGGTTCTCGGGAAAAAATTCACTAATGGCGGTCAGAGCCGTCCCTAGGGATCCTGGGCAGCAGGGGGCCAGCAGCCTGGAGCCGCTGGACTTCCAAGAGCTAAGCAGATCAAAGCAAACATAGCTATCACACTGAGGAGATTTAAACTTCAAGACTCCTTATAAGAAATGGAAAGGAAGGTGGATATTTTTTGCTATTTTTAAAATTAAATAGGCAGCTAGTATTGTTTTTAAAATTATTATGAACAATTTTAAGCTTTGTTGTAATGTGCATTGTTTGCCTGGACTGCTCAAGACCTGAATGCTTGTGTAGGAGGAACTCTTTGAGTTGGCTTCTTAAATGCCTTCATGCTGTTTCACATCGGATACTCCTTGATGAAACATAGGAGCCTTGTCTTATAACAGGCTTATTCAAAGTGATACAAGCTACGAAAGTGAGATCTTGGAAGAGTGTTGCCGTTTTCATAATGTAATAAAAATACTGTAATGATAACTAATAATTAATAATAAATAGTATGTA